GATAACGTGAAATTAATTGGTATCATCCATTGAATGAGCGTTATGAGGTGCTATAACTTTTTTCACACATAATCATACTTTCGAATCTAATTCTAGTTCAATAGACTAAATCTATTTTTTTACAAGATACTCGAGTCAAGTTTAGAACTTCTTTCTAAAGGAAGATAAATTTAATTAGGTAGCTAATCACAATTAAACAAAAAATATTGGTGTCAACTCCATTGAGGAATAGTCGAAAGTCTAGCCAATAAATGAATTTACATTATCGAAGCCTAACTTAATTAGTTAAGAATTTTCTTTAAAGATTTTTTTCTTTATATTTTATTTATTTTCAACCATGCATTATTATGTCATTTTTATGCATTGCATAACATAAACTTTATACTCGAGCTCTATCTTTTAGAAGGAAATAGAGTACTTATGCTTTTGTAAGATTTTTGTCTTTTAAGAGAGAGTATAATACTCCCATTCAAATTAAATATAACCTATGATGGACAAAAATTGGGGTACCTTACTAGTCATAGACAAAGATGTGAGAAACAATATGGTAACCTTTATATTGTCAATTCAAACCACATGTAGTAAAACATAAGAAACCAACCTTAGGTTAGAGTCATATCCACCCATCATTAAAATGTAATCCTAGTTAGGACAAATAAGTGGACTTTTTAAGTTTCATTTGTATCAACCTTATAAATGGTTGGAAAATTTTATTTACTCTCTTATTTATTGTTAAGTTGTTATATGTTAGACTTTAATGCAACATCATTAACAAATGCATTCACCATGCATCATAATGTGGCAAACATTAGTACATGCATCCATTTTTTTCTTTCATACATTGTATACATTCATATGTTTATGCATCATAATTTATTATATGTCAAGCATTCATTTTATATATTTATTCATACATATAAGATTTTTAAGCAAGTTAGGATACTCTTGTAAACTTCTTTACATAAACACTTAATAACATAAGCATGCTAATTGTAGTAACAAATGTACAAAGATAGCTTGACCATCAAAGACTCTAATTCAACCCACTCGCTATTAGTATAGCACTTAAGCCTAGCCAGACACATGGAGCAAGAGAATGCTAATTGCCTTAAAAAAATGAAAAAGGTCCAAAAAGAGCTTAAAAGATAACTAAACAAAATATTAAAGGCTTTGAATAAGTTGAATAAAGGGAAAGTTATAGAAAAATATTCCACTCCATAAGACAATCCATCATAAAATGTTGTCGATCCTTTATATCCTTCTGAGTATCTTGTCACGGATTGAGACTTAAGCTCCAAGTTCGCGCTGTTCCAAGATCCAAAAATGGACTTTTTCGCATCTTAAATCAACTTGAACTCAAAATGGAGCTTGGACACTTAAGACTATAAGGCTTGGTTGCCCAGAATGCTACAAAAGATAAGGCATAGAAAATGCTTGAACTAAGGCTAAAAAAAATAGAAAGTAAAGTAAGAGCAAGGTGTTTTACTCAATAGTTTTGGTCACCACCTAAGCCAAGCTCTAATACCACTTGGTATTAGATTTTGCTATCAAATCTAAAATCAAGTTCTGATACCACTTATCACAAGTCGAGACATAAGTTTCAGACTCGTATGGCTTCAGGACCCACTAGGCCTAGGCTTTTCAAGGAATTTTTTCATAACAATTTACATTTCTTGCAGGATATACCTATCTTAAGATGCCTATTGCATCAACATAGAAGCAATTTTAAAACTTTATTAATCTTGTCTTTATGCAAAAAGTAGCTAAATCAATTCAAGCCCCTAACTTAAATAACCCAAAGAAGCAAGAGAAGCTAAAGTTGAAGGCAATTGAGACTTCAAAGAACTCAAAAGCCAAAGAGAAGATGAACTTGTTAGAAGAAAGGTTGAACCTATCGAAAAAATGGATTTTTATGGTTCCATGTACACATCTAGCCTTTATTTGGTCTTAGATGTTCTAATCCCGTCAAAATTCAAGGTCCATGAGTTTGATAAGTATGACTGTATTCGGTGTTTGATAACCTATGTTACTATATACTGTCAAAAAATGATCGTCTATACTAGTGATGAAAAGCTATTGATATATGTATTCTATGACAGCTTTACTAACTCAGTTGCAAGATGGTGTGTTCAGTTAAATAGGACCCGTATTTATTCCTAAAAGAAATTTGCTCTAGTATTCATTACATAGTCACATCATAAATTTGGTTTTTAATCGTCTTTCTTTATAGAGCATAAAAAAAATAACAGGGTAATTTAAAAAATACCCCTAAAGGTGTTGAGATATAGTTGCTCAAGTTCAATCACACTAAAAAAAAGAGACGATATTGTTATTTATGAGTACCTTGAAGGCACCCTAGTGTGCTACCTCATCTTTTTGACAAAATTTCTTCATCGTTGAACATTATAAAGTTTGAGGCCATTATACTTCCCACCAGATGGTCTACTTTCTCAATTGAAATATCATGGTCCATATAAACTTGGTTTAGCACTTTCAGTAACGCATTTCTATAGGGTTCAAAGTTTCGCAATAGATACAACAACGAAATTCTTGTTGGCATTTTGTTGAGTTAGTCCACTACACTATATTTACTATGCCTGATAATTTTTAAAAACTTGTAGGCTTCTTCTTCTGTCGTTGGTTATTTGTGTTATACTATTAGATGCATTGTAACAGAAGTCCTTTCCTTGTTTCTATTATTTTTACTTCTTTTTCCTTTTCCTTACTTGCTTATTCTAAAATATCTAGGGCATAACACCACCTATTTCAAGTCATCCTTACAACTTTAGATATATTGGTTGTATCCCTAATGTTTGATTTGTTTGAAGTAGTATAAATAATTTAATGCTAGATCCTTAGACTAATACATCGCAATTATACTTTCAAGGATTGGGTATATATATAGTCACAACTGTTGTAAAATTATTATATTTAACGAAATTGGTAATGACTTTTAAAATTATATCTAACGATATATTTACGAATTTATACGTTATGACAGTTATTATTGGTTACCACATTTTTTGTGTTCTCTTCTTTAATATTCATTTATAAAGAGCGAAAAAGAAATAAAATATGTAAACCTTCTTAGTGAGATGTTGTCCATGTCCAAAAAAAATTAAGATTCAACGTTCAAATTTACTTTCACGCAAAAAATAATTAATATTATAATTATTGCTTATTATCTATTGCTATTTTTTCACGTAAAGAATCAAGAATTTTCAGCTTTAAATGTCATGCTTCTGTTCAAAAAATACATACATAACATAAAATACTAGTAAAAAAATGTTAAACACCATTTGATAAAACGATATAAAAATTATGTGAAAAAAATACGAAAGTAATATAATTTAAAATTTTAATAAAAATAATTTATATATTGAATAAAAATAAAAGAATATATTTTGTATTTAATATATCAATATAAATTTTAATATGATAGTTTTTATATTTTACAAATATTTAATATTAAATAGATATAACATAAATACACAGATTATTAGCTCTATAGCTAATAGCTTGTATCTAATAAACAACTATAGCAAAGAGCTACTTCTGGAATGAGAGACTTTTTCTTGCTTATGTAACATGAATATTGGAGTAAATATGCCATACAGCAAAATTGTAAAATGCTTGATTTTTTTTTTATTATAAAATGTTTGCAATTTGAGAATAATGATAAAAGTTACAAATATTGAGATTTAAATTTTATATTTGTAAAATATCATTTTTTAAAATTAATTATATAAATTAATTAAATTAAACTTCAAATTCGAGCTTTTGAAATTCAACAAAATCCTAAACAATAATGTTTTGGTTAGATATCTTAGGGAAGGGAAAACTTTCATGTCAACGCTTTCAGGAAACATATATCAATATCAGGAAATATTACTTAGAATATAACATAAAGTAAGACTATTAAGTATTTAAAAATATGTTAAAAATATATTTAAAAATTTCTAAATAAAAAGAAGATTGTATTTTTTTTTCTTTTATTTGAAGAAAGATTGTAGTTTTAATTAAAAGTAGTAATAATTCGTTTCTAAAAAATAGTAGTAATAAGTATGATGGGATTTATAATTATAAAAATCGGGAATTAAGGTGAAATTAACCATTATATTATGACTCCATATTAAATTTTAAAGCTTTAATTTAAAATTTATCATTCTATCTTCCATTTCTTTAATTTGAAAAAAAAAAGTAATGAAATTGAAATATTTTATGGAGTTATTCTATTAGTGTAAAGAGTCTATTTTATCATCATACTTTCTTTTTTATTGATTTTTTAAAAAATAACAAAATTAAAATATTTAAATATATATTAATGCAAATGGCAACAATTCATCAATCTTTATGTCCAAAATAAATAAAATCTAAAATAAAAAATTTAACTAAATTAAAATATAATGATAAAATTCAATATGAACTCATAATAAAGTAATAAATTGACCTAAATCCCTAAACATTGTTACAAGTTACTCTTACAATGTAACCATTCCTGTTTTGCGAGTGAAAGGATTTGTAATAGCAAAAGATGAGAAGGTGAAGAAGATTTTCTCCTTCCCGCTATTTGCTGGCATGATAAAATATTTAGAAAATTGGATGTCAAAACCATTAAAGAGCATAAAAACAAAAAAAAAAAAACACTTATAAACTACGAAATGAAACCAACCCCTGAATTAACATGCATGCAGGCATTGTATTCTTTCAAGTTGGTTTGAGACTGAGTATGAACCTAGGCATGTTTTGGAGAGAAAAAGGGTTGGGAATCCTTCTCCTATGCTCATGTCTCCACAAATATTTAGTACGACATAAAAGACATCAAGTAGATCTAATAATTTAAAATACAAGAAAAAATTAATATAAAAAATATCACTCATTTTAAAGTTTTAATAAAAATTTGAATTAACAAAAGCAAAAATATATATTTCATATGTTTTAATTTACATAAATTGTAATATTTAATTTTTATATAAAATATAATACAAATATATAAATTATTGATAGTTTATACGATAAAAATACATAAATTTTCAGATCTAACCACAGACACCCCCAAAAGTAGAAAAAAAAATACATCGCAATTATTTCTGTTTACATTAATAGTGGTAGGATACTAGGATTACAAAGCTAGCAGAAAATAAGGTTGACCAAATCTACTATTGTTTTAGACATAAATGCTCTTTCAAGGATAAGATAAAGAGGCAATTCAGATCTAACAAGAGCACTATCCTCGGCCTCTGATTTTTTTTTAGACAGTCACCTCTCTTCAATTTTAACAGGATCATTAGCTAAGTCCTGAATCTCCTTCTTGCTCTTTACCAGACTCCATTTCCTGTTATGAAAATCAAGTTTGTCCAATTCCTCTGCAATAGCCATATAACCATACAGAAGCTGTTCCTCCAACTTGTCACCCTGTATGCCCATTTCCTCAATGCTGCTTTTGCCATTGTTTGATGTTGTTCGGTGAAATTCCACTCTCCCTCGCTTGTTTTCAACAAAATACTTATGAAGTCTCTCTGCCATTGCCAGTCCAGTAAAATTGCTTAAGAACTTCACCACCATAATACTTTGATCTGCAGGCCTCCCAAGGCACACGGTGATTTTTCCCCCAACAACGCCTTTACCTGTCATCATCCAAGAACCAACAAGAGGAAGAAAAAGAAGAGAAAAAAAAAGGACAATGTGTGAAAGAAACAAATTATCAGTCTTGTGTTCTGGTAAAAAAAAGTCCTTCACCTTCACCAATAAGTAGAAAATTTTTAACATTATGATTAACTCCAATTATTCATAGTGCACATTGGCAAACTGATTCAAGTCAACCTTTTTTTTTTCTTGTCATTTTTATTTGTTATATTAGCAGCATAAAACATCCAATTTTTCTATTCCACTCTTAAAACAATACAAACTAAATACACTAAGCGCTTTACTAAATTATCAGGCAAAATTTTCAATCAACTACTCACCTCTTAGAAAGGCCTGCACCCCTTCAATCGGAAGAACCTTCTGTTCTTGAGGATTGTTATTTGCCATGGAAATATTATGGATGACAACAATTGGAGGCCAGAGAACCAAATCCTCCTTCTGAGCAAAAGCTTGAGCTTGAGGCAAGACGTGGGGAACCCATGTTATAGTGTCAGGAGGTGCCACGCTGTCCCACCCCAGCAACACACATATTGCTTTGTGAAGTCCCAAGTGCTGTGCCCTTAACCCAACCTTGTGAGACATGAAGGCATGTCTCACCAGGCGTTGGGTGTCCATGAACTCCTTTGAGTAGCTGTAAGAGGACAGACGTTAGAATAATAGTGAGAGAAAGAATCATCAATGGTAATCAATTTTAAAGAGGAGATACTGATTCAAAGAAAAATTAATCTTGATGTTCACAATATTGATGCTCTCACAGCCATTAAAAATTTCTCAGGTACATAAAGAAGGTAAACAACCAAAATCCTCCTCAGAGAGATTCAAATCAAAATCAAGAACATGACAGTAACATCCAATTACCATCTAGTGTACCTCAAAACCGATCCTTACCTTTTACTTGGGTCAAAAAGTGACATATCTAAACATATCCAATGCTGTTCAACCCAGTTCAAAAGTCAGATATGGTTGTATCCAACAGGGGTACTAATTTTTTTTAAGATTTTCTAAACATATAAAGGACCATATCATTAACATATATAAGCATGGACAAAGAACAAAAAAAAAAAATAAAAATAAAAATTGATATCCCTAATCAAGCAAAGCATCATATTAGACTGCAACCTGACTTTTCTTTCAAAAAAGTAGACTGCATTCACAAATGCTTTAACAAAAATAACTTCAAAAAAGATACACATGCACACGAATACTGAGAGAGAGGAGAGAGATTCTATCAGAACCAAGATGGGTAATTAAGATCAACAATTAGCTTGCTACATGAAATCGCAGTCTGAAACCACTGCAAGAGAAATTAATACATGTTTTTCACAAAGTTGTTCACAAAATTTAAACAGTTTGACCTCTAGCATGATACAGATTATGTAGCTTTATCTCACACTCATTAATTTGGCTGTCTACACCTCCATTTGACCTGCTGCACCAAGGACCCCCCGCATTAAAAGTAAGTAGCAGCATATCTGACTGCCAGTGGTTCACTATCATCCTATCTGCCACATACAAATAGCTCACCACTCAAGTTGTTACTCAAATTACCTAATGAAATCCTTATGACAACATTCTAATAGGTCTTACATTCAGACTACTAAAACCCCTCTATGAGACACAAGGGTACTAAACTTGCTCCTTAACAACACTCAAGGATTCTTAAGGAGCATGAACAGGTTAGGCTCAAACCAAACGTCCTAGATGCCTGTTGCTGAAATCAATCAGCTATTTCTCACAGATCAGTCATGAATGAGCAAGAAATGCTAAAAGTCCCACCCACAATGAAGTCAAGAAGTTGTCCATATTAAGCACACTTGAGGAATCCTCAGAAGTTTCCACTTGACATATCAAGATCAATCAATTTTCAGCAGTTAGCTTACTTACAGGCAAATGTCATCTAAAGCAGAAAAGTTCCAATCTCACTGGATACGCTTCTATATAAAATGTTATAAAGCTTAAATTGATAAAACCGCAAGTCTTGATCCCATCACACGGCAAGCTAGCCAATTCAGCATTTGTTTTTTTGGCCACAAAAGCCAAAACTCAAAAACATTTAAAATGTTCTGAACTTTCCTCTCTACTTTTCTTCTTTTAGTGCATAAAAGCATTCACAATATCTACCGTCGCATGGAGTCACCAAATTTAAATTGCCAACTTGAATTCACTAGATGGTCCACTATACATTATACAAAACCTGCAAATTGTTAGTAAATCATCACTACTAAGACACTAATCTACTTAGGTCGGTGTATTTCTGCTCAGAAGCAAAGGAAGTGGTATTGAACCCTGAAATAAAATTCTTTCTGAGAAACCATCATATGGTCATAGTTACCATTTAAAAAACAGAATGTATCACCAGAAGAAGAAAATCTGAATTTCATTAGTTAAATAACTAAATAATAGTAATGAGATTGTTAGTTTCAAAAATGTTCAGGCGGCCATAAAAAAGTCCTAGAAAGACCAATTAATACAGCGTATAGAGCCTGTGCATGATTACTTCATTGCAGCTTTAAAAGGCACTAGGAAACTCCTCATTCGAACAAAGAAATAAATGAAAACATCCACCCCTCTTTAAAATGCATGTCATAGAAAAGAAAACAGACCTTCTACCACATACGATGCAGAACAAACTACCAGCTTGTCCTTGCTCCTTGTATCTTCTACGAACAGACTGGTTCAAATTTAACCTTTTAGAGTACTTTAAAAACGCTTCATGCACCAATTGCTTAAATTCTTCTGAATCCTCAGACAGCTCAACCTCTGCATAATTCACTAAATCTTCTGTCATGTCACCTTCATTCGCATTTATATCCTCATCATAATCTTCATTTCTTTTCCAAACTTTGTTTTGTTTGTGAAGGTTACTTCTTCTGTCATTGTTGTGTGAAGTATGCCAGTTAAAAGAACCAGTTCTGGGATTTCCCTTGATATATTTACCACTATTTTTGTAAAACCTGACTGGAACCCTTTGTGAATGTGCCAAAGAACCTTGGGACGTACACCAGTCATCCAATTCCAAATCTCCATGATGGTTTTGCCCATCATATGTCCTTCCAACCTTTCTATATTCATTGTGGCCATATCCTTTTGTCCTAGATGCATGTAAAGCAATCCTATCTTCATCAATCTGCTCTTCACTTTCATATGGACCTCCAAAGTCACCAGCTGAATGAAGTTTGCTAGATACAATAGTTTTTGAACTGGGCCTACCAACATCTTCCTCCATAAGATACTTCCTTTTAAGGATCCTCTCTGAGAACATGTCAGGCTCTTCCTCCATTCTCTTTGTTCTTAGACCAAGTCTGCATTGCTCAGAATCAAATTCAGATGCATCAGAATTTATCAATCTTTCATTTTGAAACTCTAGACCTACTCCTCTACCAAAACCATAATCAGATCTCAAATTTGATAATTGACGATTGTGAGATGCATCCAAATGTGATATTTCATAATCTTGTGGTAGTCTTCTTCCAGACTCAACATAGGTGTGTTCTGAACCCAAATATTCCCCACCTTGCATTGATGCATATGATCTTCTCATATCTATGTAGTTTGGTTGCAGAGTATGATCATCCCATATGATGCCCTTTCTTGAATTTCCATAAGAATCATTTGTATTATCAATCCTCTCTACAACATGGTGCAAAATTTTTGGTTTTGACATGTCTCTATGACCATAATCAATTGAAGCATCTTCATAGCTAACTTGAGATTGAGAAGGCATCATCCTTGTTAAGTCCTCATCCAGATATCCATGATTATTACTTCCTATTGCCCTAGGTTTTCTGTAAAGGTACTCCTCATACTCAGCCCTGCTCGGACTATTTGTCCATTGCTGATATAATGACATATTCCTTTTAGCAGCTTCAGGATCTCCCACAGAATCTGTAAGTGGCCTTCGGTTGTATTTATTATATCCCACAGTTTCTGTGAGCTTCCTGTTGCTCCTAAGATATTCATCAGAAACAGGCAAGGGTGCATCATCCTGATATGAACTCAGAAGCTCAGTCCTAGGGATACTAGAAGATGTTCCAGCAAAATCCTTAAGCTGAGGAGTGCTCAACAAGTCCCTTGAGTGAGAAGCTGCCACCATACCATATGCAGCATCCTGAGAATGGAACATGGGTTTATCTTCTTTGTAAGAATTCATAACTTTCCCCTTATTTGAAGGTAAAGTTTCTCGATGCTCAATACCACCTGAGGACAACAGTAACTGTCCACTAGTTTCTGCATAATTTAAGCTTGGACCCACATCTTGTGGCAACCGACGTGGCACTCTTTTAGCAAAATCTTCCACTGGGATCAATTTCTGACCCATCATATGTTCATCAACACTTGTAACTCTGTTTTTCATATAGTCCTTCTCTTTGCACATCCTAGAAGAACCATGATCATACCTGTAAGAACCCCTTACTGTGGAGTTTGTATTATCACCAAAACCGACATGCGCAACATAATCATATTTTCTATTGACAAATCCCTCATCATCAAAATGAGGCCTTTTACGCATTTGCTCATATGCGGGTGATCTTGACCGTGCTTTTTCAGTGCTGCCACCACCCAAATGCCAACCATACGAATCCTTCCCCTCCATCGATCCGCTCATTCGATCCCTAACCGAAGCCCCCCTCCTAGACACATCTAGGGTTTTTGGACTACAACTCCTCCGTCCACGAGGTGGAGGTGACCGATCATTCATCACCTCACAACGCGAAACAGGATAAGGGTCATGAGTACCCACTTCAGCGGCAGTCCTGTGTTGACTACGCAACTTAACAGTCGGAGATAGTTCAACATGCTCCTCGTTTCTTCTAGATTGCATCTTTCCACTTATCAAACACTATAACTTCCCAATATTCAGAAATTGAGCAATAGCCCTAATTACTAGGTCAAATTTATGAACCAATTTTGTACGCCCTAAAAACCCAGAACCATAAAGCTTGGAAGATCATAAAAAAAAAAAAGAGACCAGAAATCGATTGCAAAGACAGATCTAAGAAAAACCCAGAAAGGATTTTTTATTCTTCGAGAAAATTTAAAAGGAGAAAGATCAAACCTTGGGTTTGGTTGGATTGAAAGAACCCATGGATTGGTCTGAAAGCCTTTATTTGAAATTTCTCTCAACGAAAATCCTTACTGTATAGATTCTTTTTCCTCTATAAAAATTACATAGATAGATAGAGTTGATCTGATCTGATATTGGGCGTTGAGAATGGGAAGTCAAAGATGAGAAACAAAGAAGATAGTTGAAGAGGTTACTGTACTGGCTAAAGGGTTAGCTTTAACTTTATTGGCTAAAGGGCGGTGCTTTTTAGCTATAACTTTTCTTTGTGGTTGGGTTTTTTTGTAATTTTTTTTCGTTGCTAATGATTTTAATTTTAGCGACGGTTTAAAAGCGGCATCGTCATGATTGAAAATGGAGAATATTGGTGTTGGAAAGTGAATCGAGAAGTTTCGTGTGTGGTGGTGAAAAGAATTGTTTTTGGCACAAGAGATGAAGCATTCACGCTAGGAATCTAAAATACTAATAAACTTGTCTATTCTAATTTCAACAATAAACAAAAAAAAAAAATCAACTGTTCTTTTTCTATGATTTTTTATTGAAAATTATTAAAAATTAAATTTATCATTAAAATTTTAAAAAAATGCCAAAAATTACTTTTGAATTATAATGATCAAATTATACAAATACTCCTTATATTTTATTAAAATAATAAAATTAATCCCAAATAGTAAAATTAGTCCTCCACTAAAAACTATAGAAATTAAATTCCTATATAATAACAATCCGCACAATTTCATAATTTAGTAAAATTGAGAACGTGAGTTACTATCGTCGTTAATGTAGCAGTCGTGGATGTTGATTTTTCTAACATGGCAGTTAACTTTGCATATGCGGTAAACTTCATCAAATGCTGACGTTTTTTTTTTTTTATCCAGTTGAAAAAAAAATGCTGCTGTGAGATCACTTAAAAAAAATTATCCGTCTTTTTTTTTTTTTGTACAGGTGTTAAAAAATTTAGCGCCGCATCAGCATTTTCCCTTTTTTTTCCACCATGGCTTAACAAAAATTCAGGCCAATTTTGAGACTCAGAAAAACTCTACCAGAAGCATCTTAATCCGCCCCTGCCATAATCCACGAAATCTCCTGCCTCCACCGAAAAGCCGAACTCTCACCACCATCATTATCATCGTCTAGCCTTTTGCATTACCATCCACCACCAAAAAAAAAAAAAAATCATATAGCCGCACCACATAGCTGAATCCATTAGACCACCACCCCAACCCACTCACCATCATCAGCAACTAACAACCCAGCACACACCATCAGAACCACCACACAACACTACTCAAAACTAACCCACAGTCCCAAAATCCCAAAAAAAAAAAAACCTGAAACCAACAAAAAACCAAAACAAACCAAAAAAATACAAAACAAAAAACCACACATCCCCTAGTGGGGAGAAGCAGCGCCGAAGACTAAAAAAGAAAGCTCCACAAAACGTTGGGATTTTCGACTCTAGGGGGTTAGGTTGGTTTTTAGGCCAGATTTTGGGTGAGGAAGGAGATCTAGGCGAGGGTAATACTGAAAGCTGGTGGGATTTGGTGCCTAGGAGGAGGGTGGTCTTGGCTTCGAAACCCGCCAGTTCTTGACTTAGATCTTGGGAGATTTGCTGGTTTTTGGGGAAATCTAAATAGACAAGGTGAAGAGAATATTGAAAGGAACCGTTTGGTGTATTTTGAGGGTTCAACCGGCGTCAGTGAGTGGCAGTCGGCGGAGGAAAAGCGACCAAATTCTGGGTTTCAAGCTTGAAGAAGGGACTTTTTTTATAGAGTTGAATCTTTTCTTTTCTTTTTTTACAAAAATGAGATGAAATGATAAAAAAAAAATATATCTTTTATAGTTAATAAAAGGTCAGATGACCCCCTGCGGGTAAAAAGAAAGAGAAAAAAAGATAAAATCCACGGTGGAAAAAAATGCTGATGTGGCGTTAAATTTTTTACCACCTGTATAAAAAAATAATAGATTGGTTTTTCTAAGTGAATGGACAAAAAAATTTACCACCTTAATATTTTTTTTCTCAAGTGGAACCAAAAAATTTTTTTTTTTCACGTCAGATTTAATGCCCAAGTGTATTAAAAAAGTTCATCACATGTACAAAGTCAATTATCACGTCGAAAATGTCAACATCTACATTAACTACAATAACGACAATAGTAACTCATATTATAAATTTTATTAAATTATACGAATTATTATTGTATAAAGATTCAATTTTTATTGTATTTAGTGAAGGAATTAATTTTATCATTTTGATAAAGTACAATAAGCATCCAAAAAAATTTAAGCAATTATAATTCAATAATAATTTAAATTTTTAATATTTTATTAGAATCAATTGAATTTTTAATTTTTACTTTAATTTAATTGAACCCTTAAATAAAATAAATCTAGTCATGTAATAAAATTTAATTAATTAATTTTTATGTTATAATTAATTAAAATCTTTATAGAGATCTCGTACAGAGAGACAAAGAAAATAAAATTTTTATTTTTATTTAATTTTCACATATATTAATTAAATCATATGATAAATTTTTATTTATTTATTAAAATCACATAAAATTTTATTTTAATTTATAAAAAAATTAACAGCATTAAATTTTAATTTAAATAAATGCTCAAAAATGCAAATAAATGTTTAAGGGATTAATTAATTATAATAAAAAATAAAAACTTAAATATTTTTAATTATAATTTTAAAAAAATTTTATATTCTTTAGTCAAATTAAAATTTTGACTTTTTATAAAAAAATAACACAACTATTAATAAATTTATACGCAGCTATGAGTTACAATTTTTTTGCCATTTATGGAATACATTTTCTATTCCCTACATAATGATTTGCATAAATCATTTATAATAAATCAATTATTATTTATAATTCAAATAATTTATAATAAATAATTTATTATTTATTATTTATAAATTAATTTTCTTTTAATTTTTTTAAAACAAATCATTTATTATTTCATCTACATAAATATAGTCATGTGAAAATTTTGTCTGCCTGGTAGAATAATAAATTTTTAATTTCAGTGATAAATATTTTTATAATTAAAAAAAAAAAACCTCTGCTCAAGTTCAAATCCTCCCCAACATAAAATAAAAATAAACAAATGTAAATAGAAGATATTTGTATTTTCCTGCTTAATCAATTGCTTTATTTCGGGCCCAAAGAGGTTAACTGGGCCTAGCTTTTCTTGACTTCCCCGTGTCTCCACAGCAGAAGCCTAGTTTCCAAGGCCCACGTAAACCCCAAAAAGTTACTATCTAGCAACCGCCTCGCCGCCTTAAAAACAAAAAACCCTAGCTTGTTCTTCCTATTGCTCCTTTCTTCAGTCTCCCTCTACGCAGCAGCCATTTTTGCTTTCAGGTGCGGTAAACGCTCTTTTCTTTCTTTCTTTTTTTTTTATCTCTTCTCCAATCTTTGATCCTCAAACTTCTTCTTTGATCTTGGTGAATGTTATTGATTTACATTCAATGTCCAAAAATGAATCTGAAACGATTTTTTTTTTTTGGGGCTTATCGGCAAGTTAGGAACCCATTGTTTGTGATGTTCTAAAATGCGTGCCCTTAACTTTTTTCCTCTGCTTGCCTCTATGCTAGCTTAGAAAAAAAGTGGGTTTTGGTTGAAACGAAATTCTTCAGTTTTTATGTTTCTATTTGAATAAGATATTATAGGAAATTGGTGTTTCATGGAAGATAATGCAAGAAGTAACCTGGAAGAATGATATGCTTTTTGTATGATTTTGTTTTGTTGCTGATTTAAAAAAAAAAGAACTCTAAATAAATTTTAATTTGTTGATTAAAATGAGCAGCAGCAGCTTGTATTTGGAAGGATGGTGAGGGTCAGCGTGTTGAACGATGCACTCAAGAGCATGTACAATGCAGAGAAGAGGGGCAAACGACAGGTCATGATCAGGCCTTCCTCAAAAGTTATCATCAAATTCCTTTTGGTCATGCAGAAGCATGGTTTGTTTCTATATAATCTCTATCCTTTTTTTCAAGTATTAATCTGATCTATGGTAATAAGAAGTTGATGATACATTAACTTTTTTTATTGGCGTTGCAGGTTACATTGGAGAGTTTGAGTATGTTGATGATCACAGAGCTGGTAAAATTGTGGTTGAACTGAATGGAAGGCTGAACAAGTGCGGCGTGATCAGTCCTCGTTTTGATGTTGGAGTCAAGGAAATTGAGGGTTGGACTGCTAGGTTACTTCCTTCAAGACAGGTTAGCTTAGAAACTTCTTGACATTTTAATCTCTGTGTATAATGTTTTCATAAGATATGTTTTTTATGGAAGGGCTTTCAATAGTAGTATATTCTAAGATTAAGAAACAAATACATTTGAAGGTGGAAACAACTTTGATTGATGCATCATTATTTGTCTTTCTATTGAGTGGCATGTCTTAATTTTGTTATTGTTATATCCCGGTCATCTGGTCAACATCTTGGCCACCAAGTCAATACCTGTTGACCGTTTTGTTGACAGCCACCTTAACTATTCCATTATTTGAAGGTGGAAATACGCTTTGATTTATACATCATTATTTTGTCTTTCTATTGAGTGGCATGTCTTAATTTTATTTTCATAGTCCACTATATATGATTTGATGGTTGACATAAGTTTATGGAAGGTTTATTCAACTCAAATGAGAGTTCTTTTTTATACATTTTATATGTTTTATCGTTGCAGTTTGGTTATATTGTGCTCACAACATCTGCTGGAATCATGGATCATGAAGAAGCCAGAAGAAAGAATGTTGGTGGAAAAGTACTTGGCTTCTTCTATTAACTCAAATTTCTGAGAGTTTTCATGTTTGATTTCTCTTCTCTCTGAATTGGGTAGTCATCTAGAATTAGTATATTGTATTTTGGGAATCACACTGTGTTTTGTTTATGATGTTTGAGATTATGATTATTTTGCTTATGTTATCAAACAGTTGAAAGAGTTTTTCTATCTGGAAGTTTCAGCTAATTAATTTCTATTCCATGCTTTTTCACAAATTCTTCTAGGATGAAGTTAAATATTTTGCTTAGTTCTGATTTTCATTTTTGTGATTGTTAGGTTTCAAGATACATATAATCAATTTAACATTATGCTGAAGAGTTGAGAATCAAATCCATTCTTTGGACCTTTATAACTTAAATAAACTCCACAACCACAGGTTGATTATAACACTCTTCTGGTGATTGTTGTTAGGCCTGAGTTTCTCCTAATGCACATTTTAGGCTCCATTTGACTTGATGACATGATTTTCTTTATTGAAAAAAAAGGTTCAAATCCTTTTTTCATAATGGAATGGAAAAAATTATAATATTAAGATTTTAATTTCAGATCGATTAGATTTTTTTAAGCCATTATATGAATTAATTGAGTCAAATTCCGAGTTCATAAGGATCAAGATTGTTTGTTCCTTTGTATTGCATGATAAGCTTATTGCTAAATATCTTGGGAATACATATGCAATCAAAAAGGTGTGTACAAAAAAAGAAGTGGAATTCTATTTACACTCACATTTTTACTCTATACTCCCCACCACTATATACATCCCAAATTCAAACTTAAATTTCATATTATTACTAAATACACCTCATTTCACAACAATTGATTTTTCCTTCATACCCGTAACATTTTTTTCTTTCATTTCTCTTCTGCTTTCTTCAATCTCAAACTCAACTTAACTTTAAATTCATCAAATTAACTTCAAAATTATGTGTTTTTTGGTCTTTCATCGATTAAAAGTAAGATTTTGAGATTTATTTTATTTAATTTGGTTTAAATGCATGCGAAAATATATTATTGTTTACGAAATAAATTTTGCAGAATTCAAATTTCTCAAAAATGAATTTTTTATAATCTTTTAAGGCTTTTGAAAATACATTTTTGAGAAGCTTTTAAAGTTTTTAAAAATTCACTTTCGTGCAACTTCGGTATTTAAAAAAAAACATAAATCTCAAAAATTCAACCGTAAAAATATATCATAACTTTTGAAAATAAATTTTCAAAAATTATGTTGTATTCTCGTAAATGGATTTTTTAAAACATAAAAAATTCATATTTGATTGGGTATAAGAGAAAGAAAAATGATAGAGGAAGACGAAAGTAAGAGAAAGAAGAATGAAAAAGGAAGAAGCGGGAAGAAAAGGGAAAGAAGAAGAAGAGGGTAAGATAGTAATTTAGTAAAGAATAAATTTGATATTTATTAGGTGGGCATTTTTTATTTAAATTAATAGGGTGTGAAGAGAAATTTGGGTAGTGTTTTTAAAAATACTAAAAAAAAAAAGGTTCTTAGCTGCAATCTTTAGCAACAATTAGAGCTGGAAAAGCTCTTCCGAACTTGAAAAAGATGCAATAATCCATGTAAACTTGATTTTGATAAAATAAAAATCGATATGAATTGAAATGGTTAACTATCAAATAATTCAAAAAGTTGATTTAGAAATTATTACAATTTTTATTTAGTATAATTTTATTTTTTACAATATTAATTTGATTAAAATTAATGAATACAATACAAATTATTACTTTATTAGTAATTTTAAAATATAATAAAATCATAAATAAAATTGTCTTACTCTATTTTTTTTTTAATTATATAATTTTAGTTTATTACAGCAAATGGCAATAGATAAAAAAAGTGTAAAGAGTTTCTTTGCAGTATTGAAAGTCTTATGTTTTCTATGCATGAGCTGCAGAGTTTATCAACATCAAGCATTCAAGACTAACTAATAGTATATTTCTTTGCTGGATCTTTTCTTGATACAATTCACACACCGATGGAGTAACGAAGCAAATCTGGAGAACAACCAAAAATAACAATATGACCATCTAAGGCATTCAGATTCAAGTATTCAATTGTATATTATGAATCATAAAAAATATTTTTAGATATACTTATAACCATGCTCCTAATTCATTCAGCAAATTTTGCAATCAACATAAATTAAAATCAAGATAGAAAGATTTAAAATAATGGGCACTTATTTTTTTTCCACAAATTGATGCAGCAAGTTGCTATTGAAAGCATTGACAATCACTTCCAAGGCCTTTTTTCGCATAAAACTCCTTTATCAACAGAATAAAAAAAATACCATAAAATTTAATTACATTCAACTCTGAAATTTAATTATTTTTAAAATTTTGCAAATCTCAAAAGCCTAACAAAGTAATTAATTTCAACTAATTTAAATGTTGTTTCCTTCACAACAAATAATGTAACAATTCAAATGCATTATATTTTCATGGAAAAAAATCATTAAATAAACAAACAAATAATTAATTTTAACTTTTTTTTCAAATAAAATGTCAACATCAACAATTTCATAAAATAAACTACCGTTATTGAACTCAACTTTTTCATTATAAAAAAAATCAATATAAATAATAAAAAATTTTATATGTAGAGTTGCTACGATAATATAATTAAAATTTAAAAATTAATTTTTTTATTTAAAATCATGCAAAAAATATCCAAAATAAAAAATAAAACTTAAAATAATAAAAAAAAACACCAAACAATCAACCTTGGTTATCTAATTAAATTCATCAATTAAACTTGATTTAATGAAATTTATATCAAATTTCATGTAATTGGAAAATGTTTAATCTAACATTGCACGGAAGGAAAAGTTTGGTTCACGCTTTACTTCCACGATTATATTTGGTTTCTGACAAGAGCTAGTTTTTCATCATAGGCAATTTTTAATGAGCTTTGTAAGATGTTGTGTTCAACATAAAAGTCTGGAAAATTTTGATGATTAAATACAAAAATATAGTCATTCATAATTTTTTTTATTTAAATATGATTAATTATTTAATTAAATTTAATCTTTTTAAAGTCTTTTTAAACTTAATTAAAAGTTTCTTCAAAGAATAATTTTTAATTTACAAAATAAAATTAGATTCAAGAATCAATCACTCATAAAAAAATTTTTCAATACTATTATAATGTCTAAAAATTGATATCAATTAATTTTATATTATCAGGTATATCCTTAATTAAAATGGTCTCTTATTCCTTGATTTTTTGTATGATTGTTTTTTAAAAAATTTATATATCTTTCAAAATAATAATATTGATATAATTAATAAAATATTTATTGTTAGTGATATTTTAATAATAGTTTTTATTATTAAAATGTTAAAAATATTATACTAGCATTAAAAAATTTTAAAACCACTATTCATTATTAAAATATTATTTATATTAGTATTTAAAATAATATTTATAATTAAAATATTATTTCTATTAATATAAAATATTAAAAATAATAAATAATTAACTCACAAATTACTCTTATTTTATTTTATTTTTATTAAAAAATTATCAATCTACTTTATTATATTCCTCATTTTATAATTAAAATAATCAAAATTTAAATCCTATTTATTAAAATTAAAAATCCAACATCTTCTTATATTTCCTATTTTCTTTTCTTACAAGCAAAATCATACTTTTTTCCATTTACCTTTCCATTTTCTCACTTTTTAATCCCACGTAACAAAGCTTAAAAGTCAATCCAATTTTACCTTTTCCTTTGTTTTGGATCAAACCCATTGTGTTCTTAAACCTCTGATAGCTGATGAAAGGGGAGAAGTAAAAACCATTGAAAGAAAAAGAAGAGAGAAAATAACAAATAAAGAAATGCATTACTGGGTTCGAGCTTCTGCTTCTGATTTATCGGGAACTCTTCCCCAGCCTCGGAGGTAAAACTAAATCTATTTATTATTATTTTTTAAATTATTTTTCTCATAGAAGATTTGTCTGACTGATTCTTTCATGGTTCTCAGTGGTCACACCGCTGTTCCTATCGGAAAATCCAAAGTTGTCGTGTTTGGTGGCCTTCTCGACAAGAAATTCCTTAGTGACATAGCTGTTTATGACATTGGTACTTTGGGTTTTTTTTCTTTTCATCGTTAGTTTTTGTTGGGATTGTTCTTTGGTATTTGATGAAAGATTTTTCAATTTTGCTTCATGGTCGTCCTGGTTTTTCACTGTTTCATTTAATTGGATTGCAACTTTACTTTTGATTGTGGCATTGGAAAATGCTATGGTTAGCTCATATTAAAAATCTATAATCTAATTTGTGTGATTTCATGGTTTTTTTTTTTAACTGTGTGAAAGCAAAAGTACCTTTTTGCATTCAAGAACGTGTTGAAATAATTGATTTATGTCTAGTTTTTGGATTGCATAAAACTCCACATCAGCTGATGCAACTGTTCAGTGAATCGTGTAGATAGAAATTTACGTTGCCGTTTATAAAGCATGAAGTGATTGCCAAAGAGGGTGATTTTGGATGTTGTGAAGAAATTCAATGCCTACCTTTGTAAAGGTACAAGTGATAAAGCAACCTGAGCTAGGGTAAGATGGGTGGCTTGTGTGTGTTTAGATAAGGAGGTTTGGGTTTTAGAATGATTGAGGATTGGAGTAAAGTCTTTATTCTGAAGCACAGGCGGATTTTGTTCACTCAAGCTGGGTGTTTATGGTGGCTTGGGTCTAACCAATTAAAGCTAATTTAAATCTCTTTATGTTGAGGTCTTCAATCTATTAGGATGGGGGAGATGATAATGTGAGTTAGATTCCTTCAAGATTAGTGTATTCACTGTTGCTGCTACTGGGGAACTTTTGAGGGTAAAATGACACTGTGGATTGGTATAGCCCGCTTTTATCTTCCTATTCTATTCCTAACAGTCGTTTCTTTGGTGGCCTTTGGAGATTGGCAGGCTACCATGAGAGATTGCTTAAATGGGGGTTAATTGCCTTTGTATTTTTTACCATGTAGTTTGTAAGAGCAGGTATCATCGCTTTTGGGAATGTTGGTTCTCTAGACATTAATGGAAAAAGGTTTCTTGATCCCTGTAACAATGATTGGGCAATTGGTAATTTTGGAGTTTTAACTTAGATGAATGCTTACTCATGCCAGAGGAAATTGTTTGAGAGATTTATTTTTCAGATCAACTTGGATTGTATCATTTCACATGTCTGGATTGAGAGGAACAAGAGACACTATGCTTGTACAATAAGGACTGAGGGTGTTTGTAAGTTTTTGTCTAATGTAGCAAGTCTAGAGAGTATTCTGAGATTTTTAATAAGGGTTTGTGCTTTAATATGCTTGGCACTCTTTAAGAAATAATTATTGTATTGTTTTGACAGTTTTCAGTGTTGTTGTACTATGCTGTTTTGAATGACATAATAAATAAAACTTGTACATGTGGCCATTGTTTCCATAGATCTTAAAAGACTGTGTGCAAGTTCTGACTTCTACCTTCCTTTTTCTCCCATATATTGCTTTAGAGAACAAACTATGGTTTCAGCCAGAGTGTACCGGAAATGGATCAGATGGACAAGCTGGCCCCAGCCCACGAGCATTTCATGTTGCTGTTGCAATTGATTGTCATATGTTCATCTTTGGTGGGCGTTCTGGTACCAGAAGGTATTTAGGAATCACATGCCCATACAAATCTATTTATTTTATTACTTAAATCATATTTAGTCACATGCTATTGACTATCACAATAATATCCAGGTTAGGTGACTTTTGGGTCCTAGACACCGGTAAACTTCTGTTTCTGTTATCTTATGATGTAAGCTTCTATAACCTTGTTTTTCACCTGTTGGAATAATCGAATTTATATTCATTCCAGATATATGGCAATGGTCAGAGTTAACAAGTTTTGGTGACCTGCCTTCTCCACGGGATTTCTCTGCTGCTTCAGCTATTGGAAATCGAAAAATTGTTATGTGAGTATGGTATCTTGGATTCTCAATCATGCAGATGGTTTTAATTTGTGTAACATATTTTTCAAGCAGGAGTGAATTGAGTGCAGGTATGGTGGTTGGGATGGTAAAAAGTGGTTGTCAGATGTCTATGTCTTGGACACAAGTAACTTCTTTGCTCTGGGCTGCTTGTATCTTCTTCCCCTTCATTAAGTTTCTATGTCATACTTAATAAGATGACATTCTAAGTAACAAGAGGATGTCCTTGAACAGTATCACTTGAGTGGACGGAGCTGTCAGTTATTGGATCACTGCCACCACCTAGATGTGGCCACACAGCTACTATGGTTGAGAAACGGTTGCTTGTCTTCGGTGGCAGAGGTGAAGTGTTATAGAGTAGCTCCATTATAATTGGGTTTCCATCATTCCTCTAGTCGTTAATATTTTGACCATCTAGAGGATTACCATTATTTATAGAGTAATAATTGGAAATTTATTTTTTATGTTAGCATAAAGATGGCATTTTATGTCTTCCTGATTATATATATCTTTGATACTGATACTGTTTTACTAGGAGCATGCTTGTTTCAACAAACTGAATTGTTATCATATATGAAAAACAAAAAATAGCTGCATATGTTGCTGAAATTCATGTGGTGTGGTTGGCTGTCAAATTTCCACAAACCTCCTCCGTCTGGGGTGGCACTTGTGATGTACAAGTTCTTACCCCTATGTGGGGGAGCTATAAATATGCACGGTCATGATTTGCATGTTCATGGTCTTGATTTTGCCCTTGTTTAGTGCAGTGTCACATAATATTCATGTACCAATGGTACATGACTTTCAGGTTTAGCCTTATAAAGTTACAATTCTGAGATATTGTGGATATATTGTTAACAGTACATCAATCACATTTTGTATATTCATCTTGCTATTAACATGACATTTGGTGATTACTGAATTGAAATGATTTTACTTCTAAATTCCAATGAAACAAATTAAGTTCTTCCAATTTCGATATTATCGTTTTTATTTATTCTAACTAATCTAATTTGTTTGGATGGTGAATCATTTGTATCATGGTGCTTATGCCGTCAATCTTGTCTATCTTAAAATTCTAATTAAGTTCATACTTAAGTACATAGTAGTTGTTTTTCTTGAAATGCTTAGTGGTTTAATTGATAATTATAGAGTTCCATAACTGGCCTTCATTATAGTACATGAAAATTGTCTTGTTCAATTAATTAAGCTAACATGAGTCCTTTCTAAACTTTGACAGGTGGTGGTGGGCCAATCATGAGTGATTTATGGGCTTTGAAGGGCCTGATTGAAGAAGGTCTGTATTTGAATTTTCTTTTCCATCTTAGGTATGCAGATACACCTTAATTCTTTAACCAAGTAATCGGATTTAATCATTCCCTTACTGGTGCTTACCCCATTCTTGACTATTGTTTTCTAAAATGTAAAAATGTTTCCTACTTAATGGTATCTATATAGTTGCTGTCTCTATCCTTTGATAAGTTTTGTCTTTGAGTCCAACTTGAAAGATTTTTGCTTCACTATGAAAATGATTTTGTTAATTGTATAATATTTAATGGCGCAAATTACATGAATCTGAAATTGTTCTAAGCATACTTGCAGCTTTCCCTTCCATGTTGACGATAGCATGGATGATAGATTTTTCATATAATTGTTTTTTCCCTAAATAATTTTATGCTGGCAATCATACTTCATTTTTGCTTAATTTTACACAGACAAAGCAGGCAATGTATAGATTAAATTATTATCGCCAATGACAACCTATTTGTTAATTGTTAATTAGAAATTTTAATTTTGTTGCTTTTTTTTATTTGAGATATCCCACCCTCCTTTTATTATATTTTACTTTGACATTTATCTATCTTTGGTATATGCAAATATTGTGCCACTGTGGCTTCAGTTTGTCGCATTTAGAATAAATATTGTTTTTGCTTTTACATTGCCTTACTGAATTACTAAGTTGATTTATGTTACCTTTGTTGTGGAAGGAAGAGAATGAAACACCTGGATGGACCCAATTGAAGCTTCCAGGTCAAGCGCCTTCTCCACGTTGTGGACATACTGTCACATCTGGAGGGCACTATGTAATGTCATCTCTAAATCCCTCACTGATTTAGCTGTGTATCTTAACACTGCATAACTAAAAAGTGCAGAATATGCAAACTAGCTTTCTCATAAAAATTGTGGTGTTGCTAACTGTTGGATTAAGTCTTTTTGTTGGATTGAATAACATTATTAATAATATACCCCTCTGCCACTCTTATATAGTAATAAAATATATGAGAATAAATATTTACTAATTTTTTCCATAATTTATGACAAAATTATGTGCGTAAATATGACTACTTTAACTTTATATTTCTTGATGAGCATCAACCTGAAATATCTATCTTAATGTCCATATCTTGCATCAGAATTTAAATTATTTCTTAATTTTGCCGCAGGGAGGCCTTTTTAAAAGGTTGCTGAATCTTTATAACTGGCTGTAGATGATATCATTGGACCTCTACGTTGAGCAGTGTCTTATTAGATTGAATGTTGAGCATCAAAGTATCAACACACTAAAAATGGGTGGTTGAGATGAGAATGTCATGGTGGATGCGTGGGCCTACAAGTAAAAGTTTAATTAGAAATAAATACATAGGGAAAAGGTGTGAGTTGCACCATTGAGGACAAACTGAGAGAAATACGTTTATACGTTCAAGGTGATTTGGGTAGGTGAAGAAAAGATCTAGAAATGCTCCCATGAGAATATGTGATTTAATGGAGGATACCTATTTAAGAGAGGAATAGAAAGACCAAAGAGGAAATGAATGGAAACTATAAACTGACCTTTTACTGTGCTTACTGAGGGCGTAATATGTGATCCTTATGGTTGACCCAACATAGTGGGAAAAGATTTAGTTTGTTCTTATATATAATTTTGAGAATTCCTTTCTTAATATGAGCATTTTAACAAACGACTGTTTTGGAATCTTAATGCTCCACCAATGCCATCTTAGTGAATTTCCCTTTTAAAAAAGATTTTATAATTAAAATTGATTGTATCTGCGTGTCTCTTCAAAGTTTTTGGTGGACTGAGGCTTAAGAATTCAGTATCTTTGTTATTATTATTATTATTATTATTATTATTATTATTATTATTATTATTATTCAAGTTCCCTCTGTTTACATTGTGAATTATTTTTTCCCATTCATTGCAGCTCTTGTTATTTGGAGGACATGGAACTGGTGGTTGGTTGAGTCGTTATGATATTTATTATAATGACTGTATTGTTTTGGACAGATGTGAGTACTTTTTTGGTTTCCTGGAACTTGTTGCATGCATCTTAATCTTTTGTAGTTTTCCTCATTACTTCTAGCTTCTTCTAATCCATGTGCTTTGACAAATTGATGGCTAGAGTTAAGTACTTCATGGATTTTTGTTATCATGGTTTTAGGTGGTTTTGTTTCTTGCACCTCTAAACATATACCAAACTCTTCCAGCAGGGAAGACAGAAAGAAGGAACTCTATAGGTATATGCATTAAAATGAAGAATAGTTCTTGATGTATCTAGATAGAACATTGTCGAAGCTCATTGCCTCTCAAGTCTCCACAATGATGCAAGCTACTGTTGAAATTCCAGATGATAGTTAGATACAAAGTTTGACCAAATAACAATGGACTTGAATCAGTGAATGGTTAAAGATTTTGGGTTTGATGTATTGAATTTGGATTCCAGAATGTTTATGCTTCATATCTATGCTTCCCATAACTTAAGTGTACAGAACATGACTTATAGCCTTGCATCCTTCATTAGAACAATGTGTATCTAATCTTATTTTAGTGTATTATTTACCACTGCATCAGTTGCTTCAGTTTCATCTTTTTTTGATTTTTTGCTGTACAATTGCCTCTACTGTTTAACTCGTTTTTGTTTTACAAAATTTTAAGCCCCATCCTTCCTCATGCCTAGTTATTTCTGTACTTTATTTGAATCTCACTATTGGTTTAATTGCCCTAAAACTAGTGTCTGCACAGTGGAAGCGCCTACCCGTTGGAAATGAATCCCCTGCTGCTCGAGCATACCATTCACTGACTCATATAGGTTCTCGATATCTGTTATTTGGTGGCTTTGATGGCAAATTAACTTATGGGGATATATGGTGGCTGGTTCCTGAAGGTACTAAATTCCCTCTCAACTAGCATAATTGTGTATCTTTGGCTATTCTAAAGTGATGGGAAGTGTTTATAACCTGATTCCTCTGAGTGGAACTGACTGGGAGGAAAGCAATGAGATATTTAGAACATGGGCTTCCATATACTGCAAGAAATTGCCCTTAATTTCTTCAGCACATGCATTTTGTTTTCTCTTTAAATCACATCTTGAATTTCATACGTAATTTTAAATGTTTAAAATGCTTTTAGTTTTGTCTCCTTATAGAGGACCCAATTGCAAAGCGGTTTATCCAGTCCCCTCCAAAAAATCTTCCTGATAATAAGAGAATGGCAGCCGAAAATGTTAACGTCCAGTCAGTTTTCAAGGTATTGATGCATATTCATCTGGCAATGCTCCACTCATTTTTTTTTTTTATAACTTTTTTGTTTAAATTTACCCAGTTGGACTTGATCTCTTGGCCTTTTCCTCAACTTGTTGAAGATTCAGTTGTAAAAATCTTATCTTTGAAGGTCATGCTAAACTTTTATCTTGTTCCACATATATAATAGCATGAGTGGGATGCACAATTAAGCCATCTTTTGTAAAATTTAAATATTCATTGTTAAATAAAATTGATCTTGTAGAATGATGTAGTTGCTTTTGGGAGAAACCATTGTAGGAATCTCCATGGAGTATTGCTGGTACATTTTTTTAGGTTTGAAACTTTTATAGAAATTTATTGGTGATATAATGGATTAATGAAAGTTCAGAGCTTGATATTTCATTTTAAAATTGAGTTGACATTTTCAAAGTACATGGATTTGTTCATTGTCCATTGTAAACGTAGTTTGATTTGAAGCTGATGTTTCCGATACCTTTAGGGTAATTTCCCATTGATGTTGCTCCAACCACCTCTAGTTTGGCACTATCTGATGATTTCCACATCTTCCACAGGAAAGCGAAAGAGAAAACAGTGCCATCACAGAATTGCAAAGAAGGCTAGGAATTTCAGTTTTACTCTCTGGTCCTGGGCTTCAGATTATAGATGAGTCTGAAGACAAAGAATTCATTGAACTAGGATCAAGGTTGATTGGTGAAAGAGTTTCTAATAATGAACAGGATTTGCTCATTCAGGTATCTTTGAATATTTGATTGTTTTCTCATTGGGTATTTTCTGTCAGTAATATTTCTTATGGTGGAATAACAGACTATTGAGATGCTCCGTGATCATTGGCGGAAATCTGCACCAAGCTCAATACCGCTGAAGGAGCTTGGACCTTTGCTTCGTGATTATCAACGGCTGATTACACGTCACCATCTGTAAGACTTTAAGTTAGCATAATTATATGTTCAGGGGGTCTTAAATAAGAGATTGCTATAGTTTCTAAAGAAAAGCAATTCCTTTTCTTATTTTTCCAAGTCCTGGTTTAATTTTCAACTCAGTTTGTTTGAAGATTTTGGCTTTTTTTTTGTTTTTTTTTCTTACTACTATTTTTTTAATTTTTAATGTTTGGCATTCTCGAGTTTTATATAAAAATTATCAGCCTATTACACCACAGATATTCTGCATCTCATCTTGGGGATATTATCAAGTAATAGGTGTTCATGCAGAATATGATTTCAAATCATAGACAATAACACAAAGGTTAGGTATTGTTTTTCAGTTAGTGGAGAATAAAATGAAAATTTGATGATAATTATGAAACTGAAAAACTGATAGAAAGGTAATAAAAACCTATTATTCTCTAATGATATGTCAAATGAGAAAGAAGAGTAGATGGATTAGGGGTTGGGAGGCTAAAGACGGGTAGAGTGATGAAGATTTGTTTGGAGAAGATGTTAAACTAGGCTGGAATGGTGAAACGAGTGGAATTTTGAAGTTGTGAAGAGAATAGAGTAAATAGCCGAGATTAAGGTTCTTGTCACCGTGATGATTCCATGATGTAGATGACTTTGGTGTTCTTTTTCTTGGAATTTATATGTTATAAATATCCAATTTAAATAAATCAACATCAGTAGAGATTGAATCTCTATAACAAGTAGAGGCTTGGTCTAGATCGAATTTAAGTCAATCAACATTATTATAGGGTTAAACTGAATAAAGATCTAGAATAAACTCCTTCCCAAACCTATATTAGATGGTGGTAGTGTAGATACGAAGATTTTTCGTAATATTTCTTTGGTTTTATGTCATAAATGACCCTTAAACTATAGTGAAATGTTTAATTTGGTATATGAACTTTAAAAATCTATAATGTGATACTTGAACTATGAATTGTTAACTAATGTGGTACTCACCCCTAACTTAGCTAACTTAAAATGATGACATGTAGTAGACAAACAACCCTCCAAGTATCATATTAATTAACAGATTCATAGCTCAGGTATTACATTATAGATTTTTAAACCACATTATAGGTTTTTAAAGTTTAAGTACCATATTAAACATTTCACTAGAGTTTAAGATCCACTCATGACATTAACCCTATGTCTTTACTTCTTCTATGGTCATTCTCTAGATAAAAGATTATTTTTATTTCTCTGCATTGCTATTATGGGGGACTTTTGTTACATGAATAAAGACAATTGTTAAAACTCCTCAAAGGTATATGTAGTGGATCCAACCAAGCCTATATCAGGAAAAAAAAAGGGTGATATGGAATTGAATTTGCTTGTATTTGCAACTGCATTTAGGAAGAGATAATGTCAATGAAAACAAAAAATGTTGTACATTTATTCAACTGAAAATTATTTCCCCAAGGGGAGACCCCTGTGGTTAAGAATTTGAAACTCCAATCTAGAGGTCTCAGGTGCAATTCATGGGATGAGTGCAGGATATCTCCCATTATGTAGCCCAAGAACCATGTGTACCAAAAAACTTAGTCTGAAAATTACCATCTTATGCTAGTAATAAGCCTTGTCTACAATAAACATTGATATGAAGTAATAGTTATCATATTTTTCTTAATCCTGTGTACTCCAAACATAATGAAGGATAAGAACCATCAATCTTTTTGTCAAATTTTCTAAACTAAACTTCTTCTGTTCTGTTCTCTTGTGTGTCAAATGCACCCATATATATATTTTTTTAATTATATGCAAGTCAAATTCTGTTTGAACCTATTAAATTGTTTGACAGAAATGTATAATGTTTTTCCGGAAGTTTCAGTTAATATACAAAATTATTGTATGCAAATCTCAAATAGGTAAATGTAAACTTAAGAACTATAATACATATTTTAGTTGTTTAACAGATATTGGTGAGAGGTATTACTCAAATATTTTTAATGTAAATAAATTTTCTAAATGCAAGTCCTTTTCTTGGTGGTTTTCTGATTGTTCACATGGCAGAGCAAATAGTGGATCTGATTTTCAGTCCATGGAGTCATGGTTATCAGGAAAAGAAGCTTACAAGTTTTATCACTTGAAAAATGTTTCTCAGGTATGATTCACATAGATGTAGATCCAGTAAAGTATTTCTCGTTTATGGCTGCTTTTGCACTCTTTTGTGCACAATAAAGGAAATGAAAAATTGTCTTTCAAGCAATTGTTGTCGAAGAAAATAAACATTATTCTCCTGCTTAAAGTTTATCATTTTACATGCAATTATTACAAATTGAAATTTAGAGTTACAAGATATTTGGTTTAAAATATGTGAATGGCTGATTGATCAAAAACATGGTATTACTTTTTGCATTTTATTAGCCTAACCTTGAACATGGTCCTATTGGTCGAGGTTGACTTGTTTGTATATCGTGCCAAGTCAGTATTTGGCTGTTCTTTCTAAAATTTTCTGTAGGGCAATCTAATGATGGTTTGGTCACTTACTCATGTTAAAAAGGAGCTAGCTTCACTTAATTGCACTTATATCATATGTGTTCGTCATGCTATAACCCATATGTATTTATTGCATCACACACTGGCATTCCTTTCAATTTTTGTTCTCTTATTTTCAGCTACGAATGGATGATATTCCAAAACTGCTAGCAGAATACAAAAAGATTCTACCTGAGCAGAGCACCTCTGGCCAAATAACAGGACTAGAAGAACACCCTTTGTGATTTTTGTGAGAAATGGAATTAAAAGTTCGGTATGATGCTTTTCTTTTTCTCTTTCATCACTAGAAAAATTTCAGGGTTTTGTTATGCCTGTTACTGGCTTTTAGCCTTATCAGTTTTTCATGCAAAGCTAGTTCAAATAATATGCTTATCCGTTCTGAAGACCTAGAAAACCTTTATATATATCTATACACTACAGACCATGCTTGTTGGTTTTGTCTGTAAGCTGTTAACTATGTGTAATATTGTGTCATTTACAACCTATTACAGTTATAGATTTTTGTTAGAGTGAGTTGTACTTGAATTCTTGTGATGAATGCACTTCTTCCTCTTCCTTCAAACTTTATATCTAGCATGGAATTTCATGGTATACCGTAGGCCTCAATCTTGATACCACTGGAACCGCCTGATGTATCTGTAATGGTGAAATTATATGGCAACCGATGAATTAGGGTTTCAAGTACTGAGATCCTTGACTTTCAGTCTGGTGAAATTGCTTAATTTTATGTTTCAATCTGAGGTTGTTTAATTTTGTGTTAATGTGGCAATATAAACATGCACAGTAATCATAAGCCTTTCTGCAAATAATATTTGAGATGTTCAAAAATGAAAATGCCTGTATTAATTTGGTCATGTCATTGCCACTTTACTCAAATAAGGGAATGACCATTTGACTATAGTTATATCAGGACAATAGTGTTTAGAAGGTGAAGTGCTGATAATTGTGTCTAATCCAGGAGCCTAATGCAGTATGTTCAAAACTTACTGAGCTGCCTTGATTATTTGCCATAAACCAAGAGTTCTGGTTCCCGTTGAACTTATGGACTTAATAGTTTTAGCATTAGACTTTGACAATTTGTGCATACTATTCGTTTTTATTTCATAATAAATACGTGTTAAATATGAAAATTATTGTGTGAAAATGTTAAACATGAAAATTATTGAACTCATATGTAGTTTTATTGAAGTTTTAACTTGTATTGCTTTCACGTTTTTATCGATTTTTATCGATTTCATATTGTATTACTCTAATCAATAGTTAGAGGAAAACTAATTCATAGGAAGCAAACTTTAGGTGAGAATATGCTATTAAGATGTTTATGTTCTATATACTTCGACCTTAAAAAATAAAGAGGAAACAAAAAAAAAAATTCTTATATCATTACAACAATACTGTCGCCAAATAATTATTCAGAGAACAGAATGTGCAGTGTTCTAAGCTAAAGATGAAAAGCCAGTATACAATTTGGACATGATTCTTTAAAGACCAGGAGAGTTTGAAATGTAGAGCAAAGAGGTAAAATAACTTAAAAATCCATGAAAATAAATGTTCAATTGCACGAGCTTAACCATAATTATCAGAATCAGACTGGAAATGAACCGTTATAAACATAAACGCCTAATATAGCCTCAGGATATGGATATTACTGTATTGATTCTATGTTCTTACTGATCTCCCCCAGCTTTTTCATTCTGGTTTCTCACTCAGTCAGCATCTGTTGAGAAAACATAGGCAAAAATATTATAAAAAACAAAAGTTAAGGTAAAGAAAAACGAAATATTTGAATTTAAAGCTTAATTCAATTGATTTATATAAATATTTTTAAAAGATAACATTTAATAAATTTAATATTCAAATATCAATATTTGCAATCCAATTCTCTTATTTCTAAACTAAGAATTTATTTGTATAAACAAAGAAATATTTGAAGGGGAAATATGAATGCTTGTCACCTCCATTAAAGTCGTAACCAGCTGTGTCTTTCCTAGTTTTTTTCATTGAAAGCTTCCATATCTTCTTTAAATACCAAGCAGATATACCCAAAATTAAGTAATGCGTTTGAATCTACATGTTTTTTAGTTGTAGTATTAAAAAGACAGCTCTAGATTTGGTATAAAAGAAGAAAAGAAGGCAAATGAAACAACCTTCTTTTGGCAGCTCAGTCCAAGAGGCTTTAGCTTCTTGTTAGCCATGTCAATCTTCTTTCTTGCCATACCAACTTCCTCAAAGGATCATACAGCACTTCAAGTTCCTATCAAAACATTCGGACACCAAATGAAAATAAGACAATTTTTTTTACATTTTCAAAACTTTCTTGAATGATCAGGTGTTGGCTTCTTCTTCTTCTTTTTTTTTTTTTTTTTCCTGTTGTGGAACATACTTCCCAAATCATTGACAAACGTCTTGTTTCCTCTTCAGCACGGCCAAGCTGGAGCTCAATTTTCTCTTTGACTCGCATTTTTTTCCTTCCAATCTCTTCTTCCCTAGCTTGAATTGCGAAGATCTCCAATCATAAAATTTTTTAATATAATATTTAAATTATAAATTTATTAATTAATATGATACTTATTTTTAATAAAATTAACTCTAAATTATAATATGTGATGGACAAATAATTTTTTAAATATTATATTAAAAATATTTATAATTCAAATATCATATTAAATATTTTATTATAATTTAAAGATAATTTATGATATTTTCTCTTTTAACATTTATTTTGTACATGTGATTATGGTTTATATTGTGGAATGTAATGATTTTTCATTCCATAAATTTCAGATCTCTCATCTCAATAATATCTTAAAAAAACAATAAAATAAAATTTTTATTTTTTTTTTATTTTCTTTTGAAAATATCTTTTTTTAATTAAAATAAAAGAGTAAAAACGAAAAGAAGGTAATGAGTTTCGATTGCTTTACAAAAGGCAACCAATTGTATGTCAACTAATAGATCCAATATCCTCTTTTAATATATTATACACAACAAGTATATAGAACTTTAATTTTTTTTTACCAGCGACGGATAGGAAAGAAATTATTTTTTCTCTCAACTTTTTCATTTTCTAATCATGCACAGAAATATATATTTTTCGTTACATTCACTTTTTTCTTTTTAATTTTTTATCTTTTTATTTTTTTATCCATTTAACCAAAAAAAAAATTTAAGTAGATGAAAGTCAAATTGATTCGAATTATTTTAAACAAACATGATATAAAAAATAAGAGATGTAAATAAAAATTTTACGAGTTTAGCTGAATAAGATAAAATTTGTTGTAATTAAAAAACAAAGTAAAAACAATTTTGTTAATCTAACAAACTACCAAATTATTATTTTAAATGAGGCTATCACACAATCATACAAATTTTATTTATTCCAAATAAGTTTCATAGGCATTCTTTGAGCCACAGTCACACTTACACAAAATCACAGTCAGGCTTCTTCATTTGGTAAATCAAAATAAACTTTCAAAAAGTGAAAAGTTTTTTTTTAAGATAATTTAAAAAAAAAAAGTTCATTTTCCATTGTTTGGATTGTTTTAGAGAAAATAAGGTAGTATTTAGTTTTAGAAAATATAATTATTTTTTATTTTTATTTTTTTGAAAAATAAAAAATAAAAATGAAAATGAATTGAAATATGAAAACAAAAAAAAAAGATATTTTCAATTATGAAAATAAAGGGTATTCATTACTTTTTTTTTCTTAATTTTTTGTAAGTTATCATATTTAAACACTTTTTAATATTATTAATTAATATATATTATATTTATAATTAGATGCCATTAATAACAATATCATTAAATATTTTATTTATTTTTTTATTTTTACATTTCTAAAAAATAATTTTTATTTTCATTTATCAAATAAATTTTTAGAAAACAAAAAACAAAAAATAAAAATAAAAAGTAAAACAAAAAACATTTTCTTAAACCTATCAAGCATAACTTTTTCCTTCTTCCCTCACTACCGCAGCCAACATGAAAGGGTGGACCAGGCCAGCATTTCTTCTTCCCTATCCACCACAAACAACATCAAGCGATAGTCTAACAAGACGACTCCATCAAAGACGATAAGAACGTGAAGCAAATCAAGGAATGATCTGCTCTCAACTTATCCTTACAAGAAATCTGTCTTGTCAATTGGGTATGCTTTGAATTTTTTGAATTTCTTGTTTCTATAAAAACCCAAATGAAAATTTTGGTTCTTTCCAAAACAGAAAAAAACCTGCAAGACTAGTAGTTATTACTACTCTTTATTAATTATTACTATGTCTGTATTAAAGTTTGTTGATGTAAATATACGATTTATTGACCACATATAATTTCTGAATTAGATAAATAATAGTAGTAAGAGTTATAAATGATGGCACGTAAAAGAGGAAGATAACATGACATGGCGTACGCAGTAGCATGTGATAGGGGCTGGCTGTGCTAGGGAAGTCTTTACTGAACAGTTTCCAGGTATTCTTTTCACTCTGACAAAACTTCCCACAGTCTTGCCTTCAAAATTATCTGGCTGCATCACAGCTTCTTTACTAAGCTCCTCCTTAAGTACACAAGTTTGATATTTTCAGCAACTATAGAAGCATAACAACTCTTAGGTACTTTATCCATTCTCAATGTTCTCTGTCTCTTGCATTCTGCCATTATACGTTCATGTTCATTCATTGAACAACTTCCACTATCATTCTCATTTTCATCCGAAATTGATTGTTTAAAAGTATCAGCAAAATGAGCTTCCAAATTTACTTTATGTTGTTCTTCTGCACCAGTTTCTTCTGGAAAACAGAAAACAGCTTTTCATCATAAAGAACCATCTTCTTCTTCTTTTCCTCACCAAAAAGGTTTTTCTCTAAAATCTATCTGAGATTGTTATATATACTTCACATTTGTGATAATTTTTCAGTTGCATCTATACCAACAAATTTCAGAAAATCAATGAGAGGTTTTAAACCCCATCCAACATATTTTCTAACCTGAGACTTCTTTCTTTTGCGAAATGAATTATCTGTTGGATCAAAATCTGTATCACTATCAGCATCTGAAAGTGTGACCACAACATCTTTATCCTAAATCTTGTCAGACTCTAAGCCAACTATTAAGCATTTATCTCTATGTCTTTAAACATGAACTCTTCTGTATCTGCATCTCCAAAATCTAGCTGCTGTCCTGTGTTCATTTTTTGTTTTGATTGCTTCAATTTTCTTGCTGTGCTGTATTGATTCTTGGTCATTTGAAGCTTGATGAGGATGGTTCATGCTTGCTACTAGATCGAAACATGCCTATTAGGCATCATTGGACTTGAATCAATCATTTTATCCTTTCATTTTAATTTAAATTGAAGTTCATTGGCTATTCATTGCAAGCTTTGTCCTCTTTTAAATTCAAGTTTAACATTCAATTTAAAAGAAAATTGTTTTTTTTTTTTTTTTGGTTTGGGTAATAAATGCAGGAATATATAGTATAATTGGATTACGAATAACTGGAAGCGTTTAACACTCGTTTGCTGAGTTGCATTCAATGCATTTGTTAGTTTGTTATGCAGAAAAACTAAGAAATAAAACTGTGTAAAAAACTGAGTAAAACTAAATATATATTAAAAAACTACTCATAAAGAATTATACAAGCACCTTAGATTTATATACAACTAACTAGTAGGTAAATTAGGAAACTAAATCTTCCTAAAACTGATCTTATAATTGAGGGATTGTCTATCTTAATTTTTTGTCCTTAATTATAGGAATACAAACACTTAATTATAGAAATACAAATATAAATATATAGATTACAAGATTACAATCAGCTGTAAAGAAGTATTTTCCCATGTGTTATTATTTTTTCATAGGAATTTCAAAATCTGGCTGCTACTCTACTGCTACTATTGTTTGTGGGCATTTGAATGAGAGAATTCCATGGATTTGTTTTTCACAGTCTGATCTGACCTGTTGATCGATGGAATGCGTTTATGATTTGCCTTTTATGGTGCTATAAAGTTAGTTGCATTTATTCAATTGCATTTATTTGACATCATAGACTGATTTTGGCCTTTCTTAGTGTCAATAACTGGATAGGATTCTGGTATTATAGTTATAATAAATGATGCTCTTTAGAATTTTCTCTCTGCAAAGTATTTTAACCTATTTTTCATTCATTTAATAAGGAATTTATAAATATTTAAGATGCTTGTAGTTTGGGTTATGAAACTGTAGTGTAGCATATGATTGCTTGTTTGATGTTTTTTAAGATTGAGTCTTTGTTTTACACTTGTTGGTGAGGTATATATAAACTAAATCCCAAGTTTATATATATGATGTCTCTGTTTACAACTGGAGTAATTGGGCATGACAACAAGATTACAAGACATGGAATTCATAGACTATACTGACTTTATAGCATTGATGTGAAGTGTGCTCTGTTTATGGAAGGAGAAAATACCATTTTCTTGACACAACCAATTCGTAGCAACGCATTACAGGGGCTCGTGTATGATTATATTCTCTTTGAAGCTCCATCTTCTAACAATTCCACCAAGAAACATTGATCCTGTTTCCCAAATCAAAATAAAATGTCTGATACATCAGTATATTAAGTTGTATATTTAAATAACTAAAGAGGTCTTCTATGTTTACATTTACAGCTACTAGGTTGACATAAACAAAGGTTAAAAAAATTAGTTGTATGAAAAGAAGGCAAAATGTTACATTAATGTATGGTAGTGTATTTTAATTACTTGGATTTGTAGATTGTTTCCCTGGTATTCTCAGCATCATCAGCTGCTTCAACTTGCATTTTCTGAGCTTGTGGCTGCTGTTGCTTCCTTTTCATTTCTTGCTTTCAGCTTTTTTGCCTGCCTCAAAAAACAAGTTAATTCAAAAGGTTTAATTTCACCAAGGTTGCAAGAAAGGGTGGTTCAATATGGCTTTTAGTTTATATATACTTGACCAACTAAGGTGGTTTTGACATCGTATAATATTTCGATATAGCCCAAACAAAATAGGGCTTGTCATTGTCATTTTACACTTGTTGCACAAACACTCTTATGTTTTAGTCATTTTTTTGTGATGCCCTTTCAATTTTGTCCACACGAAATCTATTTTGCTTTACTCATCCATTGCACTTTATATCTTAATCATACTTAAATATGCATTGTGAAATTGTTGTTTGTGGAATTTCCTTAAGTCTTTTATGTAGTTACATGGATTAGTATTTTGTGTGATATGTCAAAATACAGGATGTTATTTGTTGACTTATTTGTTATTTTTTAGTGAATGAATTTTCTGATTTAGTTTTGTTATGAAGCTATCTAAACAGTCCCTACTTCTACCTTTGATTTGCAATAGTGAATAAAAAAAGGTCTCTCTTTGGCTTGAACCACTTGAAGATTGTCAAAAACAAAAACAAGAGCATGAATATATACTGAATAAACCTTGATCCCTTTTATGTGCATGTTTAGGGAATAGGAATATTTCAATATATAATATTTAGGGCACATTATATATGTAGTTATACTAATTTGATTAAATCGTGCTTAGTTCAGATTGAATTATTATGAATGTTTCACATGCTTTGTCACTAGACTTTTTGTTACCTAATTTCAAAAGGTAATTTTGTTTGGTGTTCAAATTCTTTAGAAACATATGATTAACATGGATAAAAGTTGTATGATTGAGTCTAAGTATTCTAACAAGTATGTTGCTGGAGTTTCATCTTTCATGGAATTTGTATGTACCAATATAGGAGAACAATGTAAAATTCGTTGTCCTTGTAAAGTTTGCTTAAATGTATTTACTAGATGTCAAGATGAGGTTAAAGATCATTTGCTTTTGAAAGGTATATCAAAGAGCTACACCAAGTGGATTTATCATGGTGAGCAATTTGATTTCACAATGCCAAATTTTGGAAATCAAGCTATTGGGAGTACTAGTTCCTACGTAAGAACAATTGTTAATGATGAACCTTTGAATAATAGTATGTATGATCCTTAAAAGATGTATTTCCTAGAGTGGATGAAGATGATCATAGTTTTAATTCTAATTTGGCTGAGGAAGAAACTGAAAAATTCAGCAAACTTTTGAATGAGGCACAATGTGGACTATTACCATAATACACCAACATGTCTAGGTTAGAATTTATTGTAAAATTATTGCACATAAAGTTTTACTGTCAAATGAGCAACAAGGCAATAAATACAATATTGGGACTGTTGAGGGAGGCTTTTCCTACTAGTACAATTCCTTCATCGTATTATGAGGCAACAAGAACTTTGAGAGACCTAAGACTTAATTATGTGCCAATTCATGAATGTAAATATGATTGTGCTCTATTTTGGGGGGAGTTTAAAGATAAACAAAGTTGTCCTACATGTGGGACGTCATGGTAGAAGGTTGTTGACAAGTAAATTTCTTGGAAAGTCTTGCTTTATTTTCCACTGAAACCATGACTCCAAAGATTGTTTATGTCAAAGAAAACAACAGAGGATATGCATTGGCATGAGGAGGTGTGTTGAGGATGATGCATTGAAAGATCTAGCAAATAGGGATGCTAGGAAAGAATTTAACAAGGAGAATGGTTAGTTTGCACATGATGCATGAAATGTTAGACTTGGCCTAGCAACTGATGGCTTTAACTTTTTTGGCTCATAAGCTCTACCTATAGCATGTGTCCTATTGTGGTTATGCCATATAATCTTCCACCTTGGTAATGTATGAAGCAGCTTTTCATGATGATGTCATTACTTATTCCTGGACGAAATTTACCAGGAAAAGATATTTGATATACTAAAGATATTGATATATACTTGAGATCATTGATATATGTGGGAAAATAGTTTGAGGACTTATGATGCTTACAAGAAAGAATATTTTCAAATGCATGTTGCAGTTCTATGGATTATAAATAACTTTTCGGCTTATGGGGATTTGTTAGGTTGGAGTACAAAATGATATTTGGCATGTCCAATTTGTAATGATGATGCTTCTTTATGAAATAAAATCTGTTATATGTATCACCATTGTTATTTGCTTGATGACCATGTTTGGTGAAAAAGTAAAATGTTTGATGGTAAGACAGAAAATAGGTCAAATCTTAAGGAGTTATCCGAGAGTGAGTAGTTGGAACAATTAGAGGTTGTGAAAGATATCAATTTTGGAAAGCATCCAAACAAAAGAAAAAGAAAGCGAACCCTTGAAGAATTGAATTGGATTAAAAATAGCATATTCTTTGAATTGCCTTATTGGTGAACACTGAAGCTACAACATAATCTTGATGTGAAGCACATTGAGAAAAATATTTATGATAATGTTTTAGCAACACTATTGAATATTGACAGAAAGACAAAGGGTATATAAATGCAAGGTTAGATTTACAAGATATGAAAATAAAAAAAGAACTACACTTGAAAAAACTCTCAGATGGTTCTTACTTGATGTCTCATGCATGCTACACTTTATCAAAAGATAAAAAGAAGACATTTTGTGACTTTTTGAAATCAATGAAGTTTCCAGATGGATATGCTTCGGACTTCTCATGATGTGCTAATGTAAGTGATGGTAAGATTTCATAATTGAAGAGTCACGATTGCCATATTTTTTTACAAAGACTACTTTTGATTGCTACAAGGAATTTTGTACCAAAATGTCAAGCAGTAGATGATCTTGACAATTTCTCTTTAAGATTATGCTCTAAGTTATTGAAGAAGAAGGATGTGGAAGAGTTACAAGTAGATGTTATCCTCATTTTGTGTAAGTTAGAAAAAAAATTTTCTCTAGCATTTTTTGATATGATAGTGCATTTGGCTGTGCACTTGCCACACAAGATCATGCTTGGAGGACCTGTTCATTATTGGTTGATGTATTCTATTGAAATGTAGAAAAACTTTTACAAATTTAATTTTCAAAGTGTTTAAAGAGGTAATAAAATCTAATAAAGTTTCATTTGTTTACTAATAAGGTTCTTAGGTAAATTCAAGATGTATGCATGAAATAAAGCTCGTCCAGAAAGAGGTATAGCAGAGGCATATACTTCTAGTGAATGCTTAAAATTTTGTTCTATGTATTTGTTTGGGATTGAGACAAAATTTAATCAAAAAGAGAGAAACTATGATAGGGGCAATTAAGTGCATAAGAAAAGGCTAGTTGTTTTTTCAAGAACTATTCGCCCTTTTAAAGCATCAAGATATGATGTCTTATCACAACAAGAGTTTGAAATGATTAAATGGTATGTATTGAACAATTGTGATGAAATCATACCATATTTGGAGTAAGTCTATTGTCTTTAATAATGAATTATTTGAGTAAGTTAAACTTTTAGTTTAGTTAAGCTAACTTCCATTTCAATTATTTTTATTATGTTCTAGAAAACATAAAACAAAGCTGGAAATGCAAAATAGTTTATCTATCGAAGAAAACCATAAAGTGTAATTTTCCTTATGGTTTAAAAGACACGTAAGTAAATGATATTTATTGAATAACAATAAACATTGTAAAATTATTTTAATAATATTTATGTTGACTTGTTTTTCTTAAATGATAGGTTACATGGTTGCGAGATCAATGTTCTAAAGAAATTTCTAATGAATTACTTTCATTAGCTTATGATCCTGATAGATGTGTTTGAAAGTTTACATGTTATATTGTTAATGGGGTGAGGTATCACATGAAATAGTGTGTTTCCATTTGAAAAGTCAAAATAGTGGTGTGATGGTTGAACGCAATCATGAAGATGAGCAAATTGACTTTTATGGTGTTTTTACTAATATAATTTAGTTAGATTACATAAAAGATTGTCAAGTTGTTTTGTTTAGTTGTGAGTGGTTTGACCTTGATAGTAAAAGAAAAAGAATTCATAAAGATGGTCATTTAGTAAGTATCAATGTTAATAAATGTTGGTATGAGAATGACCTGTTTATTTTATCAATTCAAGCAAAGCAATTGTTTTACTTGGATGATAACAAGTTAGGGAAATATTGGAGGATAGTGCAAAAGTTTCATCATTGGCACTTGTATGATGTTCCAAAGATGTAGCATGTTGAAGGTGGTGAAATGTTTGATGTGGATGAAGATCAAATAGATCAAGAGAATGAAATGTTTGACAGCGATAAGATTATGCAAATTGATGAAAATAAAGGACCATTGGATAGGGATGATATTGCTCCTAATATCATTGTGTCTGATTTAATGGAAAAACAAATGAAATACTTAATGATGTGTCCATGAAAGAATCTGATAAAGATGGTGAAAAAGGGCTTGAAGATTGTAGTGCAGAGGGAGAATTTTATTATGATGAATATGATAGTGATATAGATCCTATTTTGTAAGTATTTATGTTATTTCCTATATTATGATAAATACTTCTTTGATATAGTTTTTTTTTTTCTAACATTAATAGTTCTTTTATATATTGCTTGTTATTTTATCTTGGTGACTACTTTTTTATATCATGTTTGCCAACTTTTTTTTTTACATCTTTGACCTATAAGTATTATTGTTACAACCAATTTAAGGTAATTGGCATATTAAATATTGTTTTCTATTTCTTTTTAACTTTTTTATACTAAATAAAGGATGATTGTTTACACTTTCTTTGCCTATACTTTAGGATGGCACCCAAAAAAAAGGTAGGAGAAGGATCATTGGACAGTGAGTTCATTCAACTAATGCCATAGCTATGCATTGTCCTTCCCTGGAGCCACCACATCAAGTCCAATCAGCTAATGACTCACTGGAATCACTACAGCAAATCCAACCAGCTAATAACTCACTGGAATCACCACAGCAAGTCCAGTAAGCTCATTAGTCAATGGAATCACCACAAGAAGCTAATGAAGATTCACTCCTTGAAAATTCTGGTGTGAAATCATAAATTTTTGTTTATACTAGAAAAAAGTTATAAACTATTTTGAGATGAATTGTTTAGAGTTAAAAGTATTTGAATTTTACTAATTGAAATCTCTAGTTGTATAAATCATGATCTGGTTTGAGGCTTTGAAATTAAGAATGATTTATGAGTCTTGTAAGGATTCCAATTCATTGTGCCTTTCCTCCTTCTAATACTTGATGGTTTGAATCCTTGAGATTTCCTAGGACACCAATGATTCTGTTTCCAAAAATGTTTGAATCCTTGTATCCTTGATGGTGTGTGAGTAATGGACCTTAAAAATGTATATATTTTTTTAATACCATCAACCTAGGACGCCAATGATTCTGTTTCCACTAGTTGCTTACATTGTGTTGAGAGATTTCTAGCTTTATTGTGGAAATTGCAACATACTTGTATTGCTTCTGTTACATTAAGAAATTCTTTGAAAGTTATGCTATGTTGTGACCTGAGAGAAAGATGAAGTACAATGAGAGATAAAAGCTTTGAATGGTTATTGATTGATCATTGATCAATGAATTGTCTTTCATTTTTGACAGTCTTGCACTGAATAAACAGTAAAAATTAAAGATTCACACTGATTATGAATAGGCCATTGCATGCAACTTAGGACTGAAGTTCACTCTGTTGCTGTTGAGATAGCTGGAGTTTATACGAGGATGAAGATGTTAATTTCTTATAATTCTTTCTTTTTCTTTCAATGCTAGAAGTTTATAGCACCACAAGGCACTGTTGATTATACTAGTAATAAGTATACAATATGAAGTCTAACATGCATGGCCACAATGTTATCCATTAAAACCTGATGACATATGAGTTATATTCTTTTTTTTTCCAACCTACCAAAAAGAAAAAGGGGAAAATTCTGTTTCCTCAAATAAACATAGTACTTATTTTTTTTTATTGGTATTGTTTGGTCTTAAATTCTTTTGTGAACTTTTTCAGTTTTTCCTTTCTAACCAAAAAAAAAAAAAAACTATTTTGTTCTTCATTTTGATACATGTAAAACTACAAGAGTTTCTTGTTTTTCTTTTGCTTGAGTTTGCTGATTGACAAAATTCTGAAGTCAAAAGACTTGGGGTTGGTAACCTTGTATTGGTAATTTCGTTTTGCTTGCATTGGTTTATAGTCTTTTAATTGTAAGTCAAAAGAAATAGTTATCTTCTCATGTTGTTATATTTGTCTATTGTAAGCTGAATGACTAAATTCTAGGCAGTTGTTCATTCTGGCTTATGTACTTTTTTGAGGATCACCCAAGTTCTATCAATGTGTCAGAATACATAAGTGCCATCAACATTTTAGTTATTAAATGTTGTTGAAGTTTTACATATAGGCACTTTTTGTTGGTAGAAATAATCTAATGGTTGAGATAGAATAGTACTCATTGTTTTAAATGGCATTGTAGCATTATTTTTCTTTCTAAAAGAACCTATTGAGAAACTCAATTGGTACTTCAGAAAATAGCTGTTTATGGCATGGACTACGAGAATATTGGTCATACGATTGCCTTTTGAGAGCCAAATTATGTGAAATTACCGTGAAAATTGCATCACAATATATAAATTTGAGAGGATTTTGAAAAGAGTGGAGCAAACACTTCTGACCTTTCAACGTTCTGTCGAAACTCAATTTCATTCATAAACTTAATTTCAGTTGCCATTATTGCAATTAGGGGTGTTGTCGAGTCCAGCACTAGACTTAAACTCCTTGATTTCAAAACTCGAGGATCGATTGGAGATCAATTAATCTTAGTTTCTTATATTTGAGTTTGGCTCATAATTCACCAAAGCAACTTGAGCTTAGTTTGATAAGATTGATTGGGTCTGATAAAATTATAAATATAAACATTGAACAATATTTTTTTATTATTTATTATATACTACCCTCCAAGAGCCACTAGCACTTGATTACAGAATGAACATGATTTTCTGAAATCTGTTTCTATAAAGTATAACTTGCTTGAAGTGCTGCAAGATCAAAAAATCATTTCAAGAATATATATATATATATATATATATATATTGCTGGGAGGTCAAATGAATTTTGCAAGCGAAATAAATAGTTTTCATACTTGTTTGGCTATGTCTATTGGATAGCTTTGAAATAAGTAGTTTTCATACAAGTGAATAAAACCACCTTCCCCACCCTTTTCTAATTACAGTTTTGCTATTTCACCTGGTAAAAAGTTCCTTTACTATCTTCTTCTGCTTGTTCTTTTTTATTCTATTGTTTTTTATAAAGTTCCTATTTATACAAACAAAATTATAAAGTTCCTTTCTTTTCTTCTTCTGTTAGATTAATATATTACTTTTATAGATGTAGCTTTTATCTCCTCTTTAAAGGGTATGATGCCCAATTCGAGGGATGGGATTTGAAAAATTCATCAAAGGAAAAAACAAGTTAGTAATTGACATACTAACAACTACGGGTAAATCTGTTTGTGAAGTTCAATCAACTAAATTATTTTATGAAATTAAAGTTATTACTTGATAATTCATTCTAATTCCAATAAAATGAAATGTTTTAAATGATACAAACAAGTTGCATGCCTTTAAAATTTTTAATATAAGTGCAAAATATTACTAGAAAACTTACTATTAGTTAATTTTGAATTTATGTTTGTTGAAAATATCAATTAAGTCATTTTTTGTTTTAGACAAAGTTTGGGATTAAATTGGATGATAACTATGTTAAGATATTTATCTTGTCAAATTTATCGAAATTGTCAAGAAATCAACAATATAGGCTCCACTTGCACTTTAAAAAGTTTTTAAATATTGAACTGACACGTCAAAATAATCTACCGAAGTATAACTTGACCAAGAAAATTGGAAAGAGCTTTGTGATTTGTTTAGTGATCCTAAATATCAAATTATTTTCTTATTCACATTTTAATTTCATATTTGTTTAGTGACCTTGAATATTGTATATTTTTAATGATTTACAACATCAATATATTTATATTATTTCATTCTTTTTGAAATTAAGAAAAGATATGAGACAAATGTAAAAGTTAAAAAAAAGTCAAGTTAACTTATAATCAAGGATCAAGGGCCTTTATGGCTAGTTGTTATTCCATGGTAAATTTTTAAGTTATAAAAATTGTTAAACCCTATTACTTTCTATTTGAATATTTTTTCTGGTCCCAACACTTTTATCATATGTATAATTTTGTAGCACAAGGATGATGAAAGACCTAATATGATGGAATATTTTTAAGGTGACTCACTATTTAGAGAATAAATGATGATTAACACCTGAAACTCAAGCAACCTATGTAAGAAATTTAAAAAAAAAGTTATAATTTTGTTGTTGTAGTATGATTCTTTGAGTTAATCCACATTTCTGTTAAATGCTAGGAGAAAATGGTAGAATTATAATGAGTTCCTACTAAAGAAAGAACAAAACCTAAAACAATTGATGCTATAGTGGATGAATGCTTGGTACTAGGTCGGAATACATCAAAGGACTTGGATACAGGCCTAAACCTATTATTAAAACCTCATCTGTAAATGCTGCAAACTTAGAAAAAAGTCTTAAAAAGATACAAGAAGAACTTCAACAAAATAAATCAATTTTTGAGTTTTTTCAAGCTTAAATTAAAGCTATGACAAATGCTTTTCCCCAATTTTCAGGTATATACTTGAATATATCTTTGTCTATCTGTTTATAATTTGTTAATTACTGTTGACTTTTTTTTTTTTTTTGCAACAATTCTTTCTAGCTATGCTAGTCATTAAATATTAGAGGTTTGTAAACATGCTAACCATTCAAGTAAGCTATTCTTCTATTAGTAATATTTTCAAATGTAGGCATTAGTATAAGTGATATAGCTGGTGCTGCCTTTTGGTATATTGATTTCGTTGAGGCTGTGATGTTGAAAGTATTATATATCTAGGCTTTGTTTGATATCTAATTCAAAAGTGAGAATTGGTACTTTTTTTTTATCATTCGATTTTTAAAAATCAATTGATTTTTATTTATTTAATGAGTCTTTATACAATGTACTTGTCAATTTCTTGACGAGGTCAATTTTTTAATATAGGATAGAGTCTCATTTAAAAATTTGATATGCATAAAATGTATTAGTTTGTTTTATATATATATATATAATTTTGTTATGTGTATTGTGGTTTATTTTGATATTTGCTATTAATTATTTATTACAACTTTAGCAAAATTTCAATGACTACATATTTCATAATTTTGATACTCTTTGTTTTTTAAATATTAATATTTCTATATAATTTTAGGGTAGACTTTAGAGAATGTACTACATTTAAAAATCAATTCAAATATTTGGTGAATTTGCAAAAATACTACATTGGATTATTTTACAAAAATAACTGTGATGATTTTGTTTTATATATAGGATTTAATAATATTAATTATGCCATATATAATTGAAAAATCTAATGTCACAAAAAAAGCATAAAGTGATGTTTGATTTTATTGCCATATTTGACTTTATCTTATAATCATTTGTGACATTAATTGTGTCACTAATATTATGACGATTTATCTTTTATCACTAATATATCAGATTTTATCATTTATTTTGTAATGATTATAGCCTTTAATGATTTTTTCTCATAAACAGCAGATGAAAACTAACGTCACAAAAAATAAAGTATAACGTGACGTTTGATTTTATTGTCATGTTTAACATTATCTTACAATCATTGGTGATGATAATTATGTCACTAATACTGTGATGATAATTGTGTCAAGGATACTGTAATGTTTTAATTGTCGTCACTAATATATCTAATTTTGTTATTTATTTTGTAACAGTTACAGCCTTTAATGACTCTTTTTTAATATAAATAATTGATGAAAACTAATGTTACAAAAAAAAGTATAAGGTGACGTATGATTTTATTGTTACAGTATATTTATAATAGGTGACGATATTTTGATATCATCACATTAAATCTTTAGTGACGGTGTAAACGTGATGAACGTTGTGACATTTAATTTTTTGTCATGAAATATATATGGTAATGAAAAACAAATATTTGGTGACATTATTCTATGTTTCATTTTTTGTTTTGTAATTATTTCTATAATTTGTTCATATATTTTTCAAAAAATGTAATATAAAAACTAACACACCTTTCCCCCAAAGATATGGATTATGATAGGTAACGATTAGTGGATCAAAGGTGAACATTAGACATGAAATGTCAGAACATCAACAATGATGCTTGAACTCAACCAAGCCAGATTTTATCTCTTCAATTTATTAAAATTCTTAAAACTTTTGGCAAAAAATCCTAGGAATAATTGACCCACTACTTTTACAAGGATCATAAACAGAGAGCATACTTAGAAATAACCACATGCAACAAACATAAAGCAAAGTATAGCAAAAAAGAGGGTTTATTTTTGGCAATCTTTTTTTTTTTTTCAAGTTAAAAGGATTAAAGGAAATTTCAAGGTTTTTTTAAGAATTTGTTTTAGTGTTTGTTATAGCATAAAAGATAGTTTTTTAAGATCACAACTTTTAAACTTAGATCTAGTGCTTTTGGTCTTTGATTTAAAACATTTGATTTGATAATGAGGTAATGGAGGAAAAAAACAACTCTTTAGGGAGTTTTTGTAAGGTTTTCGAAAATGGTAGACAGTGTCGAGTAATGGTTTATGATAATGCCAATTGTTGATTTCTAAAGTTGTGCAGTTTTTAGGCTTTTAGTTTAAATTTTTTTATGATCTTTGAAGATTTCGGTTGTTGGATTCTCGATAGATAATTGAAAATTGGGTTTTATTTAAAGTTTTCATCGAAGTAGTAGAGAGAAGGAAAAGAGAAAACAGGGAAGAGATGGGGGAAAGAGGATAATGAAAGGAAAATAAGGCTCTATTTGGTTTAAGAAAATATTTTTATTTCTTTATTTTTTAGAAAATAGTTTTTATTTTCTATTTTTTGTTTTTTAAAAAATTTATTTGGTAAACGAAAATAAAAACTATTCTCTAAAAATACGAAAATAAAAAAATAAATAAAATATTCAATAATATTACTATTAATGACATCTCATTATAAATATAATATATATTTATTAATTAATGACATTAAAAAATGTTTTAAATATGATAACTTGCAAAACATAAGAAAAAAAGTAACATAAATATCTTGTTTTCATAATTGAAAACATGTTTTTATTATTATATTTCTACCCATTTTCTTTTTTGTTTTCTAAAAATATATTTTCATTTTTAATTACCAAACATATTTTCATTCATGTTTTTCAATTTTTCAAGAAAACGAAAACAAAAAATAATTATGTTTTCTGAAATCAAACACCACCTAAGATTTTTATGTTTTTATAAAAACTTGAAACGATGCAAATTTGGAACATCCAAGTCTGCTACAACTTTCGCTTTGACCATATGCTAGCTCGGTAACACTTCCACCCGCATGCATTAAAAAGGTTTTTTTCTTCTTTGTTTTTTTTGTATTTAATTTTTTTACATTTATTTTTATTTCATTTACTTATTTATTTATTTTTATGAGTATTTAATTTTTTAAAAAATTATTAAGACATATTTAAATTATTTCAATAACATAAAAAATTAAAAATTAAAACACATAGATTAGCTAAAAATTATTTATAAATTTAATTTTTTTTATGATTATTTGTACCATATAAATTTAATAAATTTTTTAAAATAAAATTAATATGATGACATTCTAAAAATCATGAATAAGTGAGTTTTTAAAAAATTTTTAGAGAGATTTTTTTTTAATTTTTTCTGAATGATGAATAATTTAGATAAAATTTTAATAGTACTAAGTGATATTTATTTTCAAATAGCAATCAAGATAAAAACAAAATAAAAGCGAGAAACTAAGAATAAAAAATAAAAAATTAGAAATTAGACAGTTCTTTTTATTTCATAAAAAAATAAAATAAATCTTATGATACAATTTTAAGAAATCACCTATGGATGATTTTTTAAAAAAATTATAGGTTAAAAAATATTTTAAAATTTTGCCAGAATTGTGGGGAATTTACATTAATTTTTCATATAACAATAGAAAACAGAAAATAGAAAAATGAAAATTAAAAAAAGTAAGAAAAGAAAAAAGATTGGATAATTAATTAAAAACTAAAAATTAATTTTTTCATAAAATATTTTATAAGTTTGATTACATAACCTCTTTAATAAAACAAATAGATTTCTTAAATATTCTTTAAATGATAAAATTTTTTAAAAATTTTATCAAAATATTAAAAAAAATCTAAAACTTTTTTAATATTTAAAATAAGAAAATTTAATTAAAAAATTTTAAGATAATATCTTCGGATGAATGTTGTGGGATATTTATATCCTCTGCATCCGTACCTATATTTTTAATTCTAAGACTAAAAATATAGATTAAAATATACTTTTTTAAATAATTTTAATCGAAATATTTTTAAAAATTTTAATTAAATAATTAATCACACCTAATCAAATTATCATAATTACTATTGTTATTTTTTTTTTATAATTATCTGACTTGCGTACCTTTCATGGAAAAAAAAAGATCCTTTCGGGGGAACAAAATAGTTGGGAGGTACTGAGAAGATCCCTACTGAACTTGGCTGTAGACGTTATTTATTTTTGTTTAATAGTATATAATTGGTTCAGATAACTAAAAGATATTTAATATTGACAAAAAAGGAAAAAAATTAATGGGTAGGTAGCAAATAATATATACTATTAAAGAGTTGGAAGAGTCGCGCCTACCGTCTTTGAAGATCCAATGGAAGATGTTTATTTTCTTTAATGATTTAATATTTTAGTTGCTGCCCTATTTCTGTGTCTATTGACCTCTACTAATGCGGTGGGGCCTCTTCCAAAAACGAAGTCAGAGGGATTATTATATATTATATATTATATATATCGTTTCCTCACCGATGCCCCACTTTTATAATATAAACAGTATATGACTTGGCCAGATCTAGTTCATGATCTGTACCCTTGTTTTATATATATATATATATATATATCACTCAGCATCGCAACATTGCATAATTAGGTTTGAACAATTAAGCAAAATGTCAGTGGAAAAGGTTCTTTGCATGAATGCAGCAGATCATGAAATTAGCTATGCCAATAATTCTGTCCTACAAGTCTCTTCTCTTTCCATCTTTCATCAGTTTTTGTTTTTGTTTTTTTTTCAATATTTTCCATTATATTATGCATCAAGCTAACCGATTGTTCTTATGTTAAATCTTTTAGAAAGCAGTAATATCAAAGGCAAGGCCAATCCTTGAAGAAGCCATCACAGATTTGTTCAGCAAAACTCTTCCAACAAGTATCAAGGTGGCAGACTTGGGTTGCTCTTCAGGTCCAAATACCTTCCAGATTATATCTCAAGTTATTGACATCATCCATGAGATATGCCATCAAGAACAATTGAAGTTGCCTGAGTTTCAAGTGCTTCTAAATGATCTCCCAGGGAATGACTTCAACACTGTGTTTAGCTCAGTTCCTGGTTTCTACGAGAGACTTAAGAAAGAGAAGGGAGAGATGCTGCAGGATCTGTGTTTTATAGCAGGCGTGCCAGGTTCTTTCTATCAGAGACTGTTTCCAAGCACGAGCCTGCACTTTGTACACTCTTCATATGGGCTTCATTGGCTCTCAAAGGTCGGTCACCACCATCTCTTTTTTCTTTCAATGATTAATCAACAAAAACATTTTGACTAAAGGGCATAAAAAGCCCATAAAACATAATTAAAAAATCATTTACGTTTTTTTTTTAAATGAAAATAATCAATCTCTCCAATATTTTTTAATATTCAATCAAACTCTTATTTGGATAAAAATTTAACGTTGTTAATTTTTTTGACAACTAAAATAAAATTTTATGTGATATTAATAAAATAAATAAAAATTTGTCACATAATACAATTAAAATAAGTGAAAATAAAATAAAATAAAATAATTTTTTTCTTTTTTTCTTTTACTTCTCTATTTTCTCTTCCCCTCTCTACTTCTCTAAGATCATTTTAATGTTTAATTAATTATAATTTAAAAATTAATTGATTCAATTTTGTCAAGTAATTAGATTTTATCCAATTAAAAATTCAATTGAATCAAAATAAAAAATAAAAAATTGATTAATTATAATAAAATTTTAAATAATTAATAAATTTTTATTCTAAGACTTTTTTAACTTTTTTGTTAAAAATTTTATTTTAATTATCAATTGAAAAAATTGTGATCTCTGAATTTTTTGATTACGCAATCATTAAAGACTTACAGCTAACTGTTGTACTGTCCACATCATGTAACATTTGTTACATGGTATTAAAGGTTATTTGACGTACCATGTGTCATTATAAATTTTATAAAACATATAAATTTTAAATATTAAAAAAGATAAATTACGAGTTCAGCTACTTTAAGAAATTTTATTTTGGTCATCTGATTTTAGAAAATCATATTTTGACCATCAATTTTTGTGAAATTTGTTAATAATTTGATTTTCAATGTCAATATATTGATGTGGAGGTTGCATTAAAATTTTTTATTATCAAATGTGTGAAATTAATATAATATATTGGAATCTTTTATATCTACATCATAATATTTTATGATGATATTCAAATAAGTCTTTTAATCTTTTATTTTATATAATTAAGGTTATAAATAGGGGTTTAATCGATCGAGTTCGAGTCAATACAGTATTAAGCTCGAGCTCGAATCGAAATTCGATGCTCAAAACTCAGTTCAAACTTGATTAAATTTTATTTTTTTAATTTGAGTTCGACTCGAGATAAAAATTGAATTATTAGAGTTCACTTGATCAAACTCGATTAACATGTAAAAATAAGTTCAATTTTTATATTTGATAAAAGCTCGATTATTTGTGCTCGAACTTGAGCTCAAGTTCAAGATATTTTATTAATTAAAATAATAAAAATATATTTAAATATAAAAGCTCGATTAGACTCATGAGCTACTCGAATCGGATATAAAAATATTCAAATTTGGTTTGATCGATGAATCTAACTATTTGAGCTCGAGCTCGAGCTCGACTCGATAATAATCAAACTAAATTCGAATTTTATTTAAATCGAACTTGAGTAGTTTGCGAGTATTAATATAGCATTTACACCCATAGTTATGAACTTTTATTTTATTATAATTAAAAAATTGACATTATTAAAATTTTCATATTTTGTTAAAATTTTCTTGGGTGACTAATGTAATTTATAAAAATACTTGAATTTATTTAAATGAGTTGGATGACAAATACACGAAGGAATATTATTTTAATAAATGTGAAAATTAGATTTATTCACCCATTTTCAATTTTAATGGATATAATTATAATAAAATAAAATTTCTAGTTTTAATTACATACAATAAAAAAAATCAAAGGCCTATTTCTATTTTTTCAAAAGTCTAATTTTTTTTTAATTTTTTATAAAGTTTGAGAGTTTATTTTGAGTATTATCACGAGATATTTTAATATAGATGACAAAAATAATAAAATAATATATTATTTCATTTTTCAAAAATATTGGTGACCACAAATTATCGCAATGCGACATCGATAGTGAAAAATTGATGATGAAAATCAAAATATTGATAAATTTCACAAATATTGGTGATTAAACTGTAAAATTTTAAAGTTAGATGATCAAAATAAAACTCTTGAGTGACAAAATGTATAATACCTTTTTTCAACATCCATTTTTTTTTTTTTAAAATATAATACCATGTGATGTATCAAATAATATGATAATATCATGTAACGATCATTAACTTTTAATAGCTGAGTGAAAAAAAAATTTAAAATTTAAAAATATTGGTGATCAATCCATAACTTTTTATAATTGGATGATATATGGAAGAAAAAAATTGTGAAAACTTTAATGACTAAAATTTAATTTATAGTACTCTATTTTCAATTAGTATAGTATGTATTTGCAAAACTCTAGTTATCTGTTTTATCTTATTGCTATTATTATTATTATTATTATTATTATTATTATTAGTAAGAACCCACTTTATCTCTTCTAAATTTTGACCAATTTTGTTTAGGTCCCACAAGGAATAGAGAACAATAAGGGGAACATCTACATGGCAAGCTCAAGTCCTCCTAATGTTTTCAAAGCTTATGCAGAGCAATTCCAAAAAGACTTCTCAAATTTTCTAAGGTTGCGTTCCAAAGAAATAATGCCTACGGGGCGTATGGTGCTCACCTTTATGGCTCGGAACAATCCAATTTTCTCAAACGAAGATTATGGTTATTGGGAGCTCCTAGCTAAATCCTTTCTTGACTTGGTTGCAGAGGTTCTTTTCTTTTCCTTACAATCTCCCTTTAAATATAAGAGCATATAGCCGACAATTATTTTTATTATAATTTTATAATTATCAAAATAAAATAAAGGTTTAATGTTATAAGGAGTTCAAAAATTATAGTGGAATTATAATATTTAATATGATAATTCTATTATAAATTTATTAATTAATGTAATATTTAAAAGATTGCTTGTCTATCACTTGTCATTATTTAAAGTTAATTATTTAAAAGTAATCACGTTAACATTGAATATCGTATTAATTAATAAATTTATAATTCATATATATTATATTAAAAAATTTTAAAATTAAATACTACAATGAATATTTAACTCCAGTATAAAGATTACATATGCCATTAATTCTACAATAAATTATGAATAATGTAAAGATTTAACATTTATAAACATGAATTCCATATAATATTACAGTGATCGTGCATAAATCATGATTGTAATTGGACATGTACTTCCCATAAATTTAAGTATTGTATCACGAGAATAGGAGGTTTCTAGAATAAAAATAAATCCATAAATATTAAAATCATTCAATCTGTGATTATATTCTTAAAATTAGCATCCATCACTATTAATAAAATACATTTTTAATGTTAAAAATAATTTAAATAAAAAAATTCTCCCGCAACGATGCGGGTGCAAAATACTAGTTCTATATATATATATATATATATATATATAAACGATGTTTACAAATTTCATTAGTAGATATAATTGATTATCATGTGCCAAATTAATAATTTTATAATAGTAATTTGATAATTCAATGTTTACTAACAAATAGCTAAATCCGCTTGTAAATTTTCATTTCTACTGCCAATATACGAGATAATTAAAAAAAAATTTTTAAAGTGTATATATATATATATATGTACATATGTATATATATATATATTCATCTTACTAATAATTTTTAAAGCTCTAAATTAAAATACAAATATGTTTCGATTATAAATTCTGAAGACATATAAGATAGTCATAATTGAATTTAAAGTTTAATTTAATTGATTTATACTATTACTTTTAAAAGCTGACATTTGGTAGATTTGGAGTTAGAATCTCAATACCTACAATTTCTTTTTTTATTCTTAAATTATAATATCTTTTATAAAAAAAAAATGTAATTTGAATTGCAAATTCTAAAAAAATTTTTAATGATTTTTGTGTATATATATATATATATATATTATAATTGCAGGGACTTGTAAAAGAGGAAGATGTGAATTCGTTCAACCTTCCTTTCTATACACCATGTGAGGAAGAAGTAGTTGAGATTGTCGAGAGGGAAGGATCATTTGATATCAACGAGCTACAAGTTTTCAAAGTGGACTCCACTCCTCCTAGAGATGGAGATGACATGATGCATGACAAAGACTTTGGGTTGAACAACATTTACATCCAAAGTGGGAAAAATGTTGCAAATATTCTAAGAGCTGTTACAGAACACATTTTTTGCAGTCATTTTGGAGATACAATAATCGACAAGTTATTCATAAGGTTTGCAACACATATAGCTAATGGTCTAAGTAATACAAAGAAGGGTGAGAGGAAGGGGGAGAGAGTTAACATTGTCATTTCATTGACAAAGAAGTAGTTAAATGAATTAAAAATTAGAGGATATCATTATTGTATTTGGGAAGATGAACAATTTGAGACCGTTGATTTGAGTTTAGCTTGCTATATAAAATGTAATAATAAATTACACACATTATGTACAAATTAGCTAAGAATACCTATATAATGAAAAAATATTAGAAGATAAAATTTCAAATTTATTGGTGTCGAGCTATTTTGACAAGGCAAGAATTTGAAATCATAAGGTGGGTGGTTGGTTAATAACAAAGGTCAGAGATTTCTCTGACATTTGTGTTCTAACGCTCAAGTCAATATTCGAAAAGAAAGAAAAATAGAGAAAACTTAGAAATAAAGGTAAGGAATTGAATGAATAGTACCTAAAAGAGAGGAGTTATTTATATTTATAGGGTGAAAGTGTTTGGCCTAGATGGCTTGAGCTCTAAGTAGCGGAGCCAAGGCTAATGTTACTAGTTAAACCTAATATGATAGTCAATGACTCAATTGGGGAGTGACAACGTGATCAGAAATATGACTTTTATCGATGAAATTTTTTATTTGTAAAAGTTAATTTTTTGTCAGTAATATTTTTACCAATAAAATTATTGATAAAAAAATTTTCATTGGTAGTAAACATGTCGATAATGCATTTTTGTTGGTAAAATTGAATTTTCATTAATAATTACCGACGAAATTTGAAATCAAATCCCTGTTGTTCGACTATTTAGGATAATTCACTTATAAAGTAGTGTTTAGTATCATTTGCAAGATTATCATAGTAATTTAATCACCAATATGATCTTATCACTCATAATTTAAAATCTCTTTGTTATGATAAAAATAAGTAATTCTTAATAATTAAAGATTATTATATTTGTTATTACTAAAAATTAGACATTATTTTGTTTGAAGTACCAAAATAACTAAATGCACATTATAATAACTACATAAGTTAATGATTTCAATGTTATTTAAATAAAATAATTTGTATATAAAATATTATTCATAATAAATATAATTGAATTATTAAATTAAAAATATATTTATTGATATTAAACTAGTTTTTATAGTATAAATTATGTAAAAAGATATTTGAATTAGAAAATTAAACTAATATATTAAAATGAAAAGATTATATTATAAATAAATTTTAAAAATTAAAAAATCAAGCAAAATATTTGTGAACTTATTATAATAAATATTAGTTTAAAAATATAAAAATTATAATATCAAATAATAAAAATTAATTTTAAGAAGTAAGTTTTTAATTAATATATTAAATGGATAATATTAAATATTATTAATTTTACATATCATTTCCCTCAATGATAAAATTTCTTACCCTTTTAGATGAAAATTATATTAACCTCCAATACAATAAATTAATTACTTTCAATAATTCAAGATTATCATCATGTGCGATCATTAAATAATTATCAAACATTGTGATTTATTCATGTACATAAATCATCATAATTTTTTGAGTGATCATTTTATATCAAACATTACTTAAGAATTAAGGCTTCAGAAATAATGACTTAGCTCTTTATTTTAGCGTTTTAATTGTTAAATTAAACCATAAATGTTATATGATAAAAATTAAAAGGGGATAAAAGACTTGGAATCGTTTACTAAGTAAATTAAAAACAAATAGTCTGCCTATCTATCTAATAGCTAGAAAACTTAAATAAAAATAATTCTCCCCTCCCGAGAAAAACACTATCGTTCACCTCAATAAAGAAAAATCTCCTCTCCCTCCATTGGCAACAGCAAAGTTTTTGCTCTGTGAAAAGTGTGGATTCTACTCGAACTTTGAAGCAATTTTTCATCTCATGTTTAGAAGTTTGACCGAAACCTGAAAGTTCATGAAACTTCAGGACAAGAAGATCCTAGAGTCACTTGGCTTTGAACTTGAAAAGGCAAAAGGCCAGTAAATAGGTTTGATCAAATTACGATTAATTTCGAAATTTAATCAATTAATTTTTTTATTATCTTAAATTCGTATCAAAACTCACACAGGCATTTTCGTGCTATTTTGGTATCTAAAAATCATGTTTAAACATGCTGATATCATTGAATGTGTCTTTGATTTTTAATAATTTTGTTTTTGTACGCTTTATGGCATGTTAATGGTAGATATAGAAAAGTATGTAATTAGATTATAATTTTTTTGTGGTATAATGCTACATATGCCTATTGATATCTGAAATTTTTGAGCTTCATATGATGCATGTCAAGGAGAAAAATGAAACACTAGTTATTTGACCTAAAACTTTTATTGATTTTTCTCATTGTCTCGTATGATTTTTGATGCAATCTTTATATATATTAGAATCCTTCTATTGTAGGCTTTCCAGAGGTATATTATATGCATTATTTTGATTTGTAGATTGACAGAATTTTTGCATTTCAAAATTAAGGATTAAACTGAAAATAATGAAAACTAGAGGTTGAAGATAAAGTGAGACTAGGAACCCAATCCACTCCTGCGCTAGAGCGTGACCAAAATTTCGGTGTTTGATTCGTACTCTGACCACTTCATTAGACTCAACTCACCCAAACAAAATAATGGCTTCAAGATCTCACCAAATTGAATACGGGGAAGGAAGCACGTGGCTTGCACACGCCACCGTGGGATTTTCTAAAAGTATAATTATTTTTTGCTAGAAAATTGTATCTGACTCGCAGCCAAGAAGCGCGTGTTGGCGCGTGTATGGTCTCAAGAGGTGGAATTTTAACACCTTGCCACTACATAAATCTAGAACTCCAAATTTTATTTTTTGTATTTTTTTGTATTTTTCAGAATTTGGTAATCAATGTAAATATTTTTATAAACAATATAACTTGAAAAATGAAAATCCAAATATCAGGAGCTTACTCGTGCACATGGGCAATTCCGTGGTCGGGATCTGCAGTTTAGAAACTTCCGTAACTTTTTTTTTATCCTAATTTATGCCGTTAATAAATTTCTAATAATTATAAAAGATGTTTTAATTTAATTTCTACATTTTTTAGTAAACAGAATTTATTATGGCAGCATGAATGGCGTTTCAATGACTTTAAATATTTTATATAATATGCTTTGGCATGTTTTAATTATTATCATCATTAAATTTCTATTAATTGTATATGCCAAGCATGATTTATTTTTGGATTATAAAGCATGCTATTTGTTTGAAATATGCAATTTAGTAACAAGCCAAAAAAAATGCTATATTAAATTGGAGGTTTTGATTGCGTAGATGTTAAATATGATTTTACAACTAAAACTAAAATTTTGCGCATCAATTATTTTAACTAATGAGAAAGAGTACTTGTATGTGGTAGATGTTTGAAAGCATAGTGATTCTTTGATCTTGCAACTTGTGAATTATTTTCATTATTTAATTTGAATTTGTGTGGCAAAATATTATCTTGTGGTGAAATTACTAATTACCTTGCACATTTTGCTATTATAGTTGAATATGGTTGCAAAGAACGTTATTGCTAATCTAAACAAAAGATAGAAATTGGATGGCGAAAACAATGACATTTGGTGCCATAAGATGATTAAAGGGTTTTGGAGAACCTCGAACAGATCATGTAAGAGCCAAAAATTGGTAATACTGCTTAACACTGCAAAGATCTTTAATCCTATCAAATCAGCACAATAAAGATCATTATGTGTACTTTACTATGTTAAGTAGCATGCACAATGAATTGATAGGCGAGTTTGAGTAGTATTATACAACCAATGAGATGTGGAAAGCCTAAAATACAAATATGATCTCTTAGACTAAGTTGTTTGAATTGAACATGAAGTCCAATGCCTATAAGAAAAAGGCACATCATTTGATGAAACAAGCTATGAGGATGACGTCTACGTTGATCCGTTAACTTAAGGCTCTGGATCATCCTGACTGATGAGCAGCAGGTTCAACTGTTATTTCCTCTTTTCCCAACACTTGGGAGCACATGAAGGTAAAAATGACATATAATGATACAGCCAGAACCTTTAATGACATATTGTCATTTATAGTTATGAGGATAAGCGCATGAAAGCTGCTAGCCCTGTCGGTGTTGCAAATGTTATTGAGGTTAGTTTGCACAAGGCATTTAGGTATAAGTGTAAAAAGGGTGGAAAACCTTCTAGGAAGGACACTGAAGATGGATCTACGCCAAACAAGGCAAAGAGTGCCAGGTGCCATAAAGGTAAGAATGATGGTAAGAAAGACAAAACGAAGTTAACTTGTTATAATTATGGAAAATTGGGACACTTCACTGGTGAATGCACTAAACTGAAGAAGGTATTTTTCAACTTTATGTTTTATTTTGATTGCTTTGTGGCTAGGCAAAATTTATATGCTCATCATTTTTCTATGTTGGTTGTGGATTCATAAGCAACAAACCACTTAACTCAGACAAGAGTTGGATTCGTAAAGTTTCACTAAATTTTGATAAGACAGAAATATCAAGACATAAAATCTCATTATAATTTTTTTGCAAAACTCTATTTATATTCCAAGGATTTTATTATATATGCATCAATAACAATTACATGTATATATATATATTATGATAAAATAATTAAAATTTTTATAAGAAATCAAATACCATAATATTTTCATCAAAACTGATTTGTCTTATAGGGCACGTACCAACAAAATTCTTAACCCACACTATGACATAAATAAATGAATCATGCTGGACACAATCTATTATTATAATAATTATGTCAGTGTCAAGCATAACCCATAAATGCTTGGCCCATTTGAAATCTTTACTCTACTTTATTGACAAGGCTAAGCCTCGGGCTTCATTCATTTTATTTTCAGAATTGCCAAATTTACAAAATGAAAGTTAATATATATATATTTATTTATCAAAGCTAGAAAATGGCACTTGTTAAAACCACTATAATTTAAAAAAAAAGTATAATATTATATAACTAGAGTTGTAAAAGTTAATTTGAACTAAAAGACTTGTGCAAGTGTAATTTATTGAAACTTGATCAAGTGTAACTTATTGAAACTTGATCTAATTCAATCTAATTTGATTAGAAAAATATTAACAATCCAAATCAATACTTATAGGATGTGAATTTAGGCTAATCTAAATGTGAATGGCTTAAAAGATCAATTCAAAATATCCAAAATTAAGTTGATATTATTTTAAATCAACAATTTGATTCAAAAGTAATTTAAAAAATATTTAAATTCAAAATGATTCAAACTTGAAATAATTTGAATGTAAAATGATTGAATTCAAAATAATCAAAAAAAAAATTTTGTCACGAAATGATCCAACTTGAAGTGACCCTACTAAAACTGATTTGACCACCTAGATATCAATATAACTAATATCCGTACACTATAATTTTTTTTGTACAAGAGAAATAAGTTTTTTATTTTTAATTTTTAATGTTAATTTTTATCGAACAGCATTATCATAGTAACTATCTACAAAATTTAGTTAATCATTTATATATATATAAAATTTTAAAACAAATAAAGATATTTTTGGTGACAATGTTAATTTTTTTTCTTTTATGAAAACTTTTCTTATGGCTGAAGTATAAAAAAGCTAAAATAAGGAAGGTATAACAAAACAAAAGAAAATTATGATGATGCATTTAAGAACGATAACAGTAATGATTATAGCTTTATCATAATAACAGCAGTGAAAACACTACATTAAAAATATTCATGCTTATGATAACATAATAATTATACAAAATTTTATGGCAATTAAAAAATCTTGATAAGTTCATAAGAAATAACTTAAAAAAGAGAAATATATGAGATTAATTAAAGAAAAGAAATGAAACAAAGACAGCAGAAAAGTTTACGTGACTGTCTGTCCAAAATTATAAAAAAAAAAAATTTCTTCCACCGATTATTTAAATAAAAATTTGTAAAATAAAATCGGAGGTTTACAAATAAGTGCAATTGACTTATAATTATTATTGTTTGCACATTTTAGATTATATTTATCTTAAAAGGAAATATATTTTTTAAATTGGTAATAAGAATTTAAAAGTACCATTTTAACCTTGAATTATTTTCGGACTTATATTTTTTGCCAAAAGCAAAAGAGAGGGAGGTTGGTAATTTCGACTATGGTCAAGTGAGACCCCGCATCCCATGTGTCCGACAATCAAGGGTGTTTAAAATTTGATTTTAATCCAATTAATTAATTTACTTGATTTAATTCAATTCATCAATTGAGGATTAAATTAATTTCGATTGCTTATCAAAATTAATTTTTAAAAAAATTTTAATTTTTTTATTAATTTGATTTAAAAGTGAAATCAATTGAATTAATTAAAATTTTAAACAAAATATAATAAAACTCAAATATAAAACTAAAAACATATGAAATAAAAGTATTTTATTTTAGAAATTATAAGATTTTTTAATTTAATAATTTAATATTTAAAGATTTATGGAATGATTTTTTTATTTTTTTAAATTTAAAAATTTAAAAGTTTAAAGTATAATTTAATTAAAATATATTTATTATTAACTTAATAAAAATTAATGGAACTGATCAAATTTAATATAATTGATAAATTTTCAAAAATAACAATTTTAATTTAATTAACAGAAAATAAAATAAAACAATTTAATTTAATTAATTTGATTTTAAATAATTCTAGTCAAAATTAATGGAATAGATCCAATTACTGACAACTTCCAAATCTTGTTGAGGCATTGGATTTGATAATGATTTGAAGACTTCAAAATTGTGGAATCTGGCTATATTTTCAAACTGGATCCAAGCAACAATGACAAAAACGACATAATAGTTAAGAAATCTGCTTCAGGTTGGATATCATCAAATTAGATCATACTTAGGTCTTTAAGCTCAAAATTTTTCCATGAACAATTCGTTTTTTTCTATTTCTGCCTTTTTGATAGTGTCTGAAAGTTGAAAATTCATCTTAATGAGAGGGTAAAAATAACACTTTCCTATTTGTATTAACAATTTAAAAAGTTTTATTTCTTATACAATAAATATAATTTGATGTGAACAGTGCTCAATAATAATTATGGGTCCATTGCACTCATTTATAATTCTACCAAGAAAAATAAAGTAAAAGTCGTCCAATTCCGGTGTGCCTTCTTCAATGCAGTTTGTTTTTTTAACGTATTTTTCACTCTCGTTTCTTTGTTTCGCTTTCTGAATCGAAACCTTGTTTTTGTCACTCATCATCGTATTCTAATTCTTTCTGGTTCTTTTTTGTCAAAATTTTCCCTTTTAATTAAAGAAGCTGGCTTTTTGGGATATTTGGAGTGTCGTTGATCAAAGTCTCCAGCTTCTAAAATGCAGAATTCTGATCAGGAAAGGCAAGATCAAAGGTAAATATAGTCTGGGTATTTCTTCCTTTCTGATTTTTTATGCTCTCACTTAGTTTTTTGTGTTGTTAAGTAGTTTTAGCTCATGAGTTGTTTTTCTTTTTCCTTTTTTTTGGCATGGTATAAACTTTCTCTTCTTTTTTTTTTTTAGATTGCTTTTGAGTTTTTTAGATGAGTATTATGTTGCATGTTTCTTTGTTTTGGTTTATGGAGGAGTGAGCTTCAGTCAAGAAGCCAAAATTTGAGACTTTTCTGGCATGCTTGTATTGATTGGTGCAATGTGAACCCTGGTTTAAACTAATAAACATTCATCTCTAGATAAATTGGAGAGTTATCTGTTGGAATTGGATTGATCAGGAACTGAAAGGACAGTCATTGGGTACATCATTATTTCTTGATTGGGTTGGGGATGCTTCTCTTTACAAAATTTACGAGCAAAACAACATAAGAAAGCATGAGAACTGCTTTGGGTGATCCAAATTCTACTTTTGAAGCTATGGTGACTGCTAATGGAGCTAATTTTAGAGGTTTTAGATGCAGATTTAATTTTAGTTGGTGACAAAGTTTCCCAATATCTAGGGTATTATTTCAAATGTACCTAAAACACGGTTAGTTTCCATTATTTTTACTTGTTTAGTTTCCCAGTGAAGTTTTCTCTTGCATGCTAGTTCCCTTTCTCCGGAGGAAGCTTCTTGATGCATTGGAAGTACTTGTTTCTGTGCCTTTATAGCAAGTCTTCCTGCTTCCTATGTACATTTTTTTTATAAGTAAATTCATTTATTCGTTAGGAGAAACTGAAATTTTGATGTAAATATAGATTTTCTGTCTGTGTGTTAGCTTTAGTAATTGTTCATACTTTGTGGATGAATTGAAGGAACCTTGGTTTTTGTAGTTTGAACTTTGTACATAACTTTCTATGTATTACTGATGCTTGCATGGTGTGTGTGAATGTGAGAGAGAAAGAGTGAGAGGGGACGGGGACATGTTGATCCAGTGTAAAGTTATACTAAATAAAGTCTGAAGTTTGTTGTTTGATTTTTGGGTGATTATTTAGCCCTTGTTTTGTCAGGAAAACTTGCAACGTGGAGGATTCCACAATGACCATTGAATTCCTTCGAGCACGTTTACTGTCTGAACGATCTGTCTCCAAAAGTGCAAGACAGAGAGCTGATGAACTGGCAAGAAGGGTATGTTTTCATATTTTACATAGGAGGCCTTTTGAGATTTGCTGGTTCTTGTTTTTCTTCTCTCTCTCTTGTGCTGATACTTATGGACTCTTTGTTTAATGCTTTATAATGTTGGTTTTCTATATGAATTAGGTAGCTGAACTGGAGGAACAACTAAAAATTGTATTTGTCCAAAGGAGGAGGGCTGAAAAGGCAACAGCAGATGTTCTTGCCATTTTGGAGAATCATGGAGTAAGTGATATATCTGAGGACCTTGATTCAAGCTCTGATCAGGATGCACCTTTTGAATCCAACATGGATAATGGTTCTACTAAAGAAGAGGAGAGCTTTGTCAATTCAAAAGTGAGAAGAAAAAAGTCAGAGGAACTCTCAGGTTCTGACCTTGAATTTTCACCAGTATCTGTTAGAAGCTTGTCCTGGAAAGGCCGCAAGAGTGCTTCTCAGTCTCCTGAAAAGTATAAAGATTCCCTTGTGAGAAGGTGCAATAGTTTTGCGTTGAAGGGTTTTTCGTACCCAAAACACCGCCAGGTTAAATCATGCAGGCAGACAAGACGTAGGGAATCAAGGCTAGTACATGATACTGTTGCTTTTATTCTATCACAACATTGCAACCTGCCCTTTTTTAAGAATAAAAATGGAAAGACAGAAAATAATATATTGAGCTTTAGTAAATTTGTCAATGAGTCCTATAGTTTTGCATGATAAACCCTGTATGACAAGCACTGCTTTCTGATGCAAGGAATGGGTAACATTAGGATTGCAAATTATAAAAAAAAAAAAAAATGATTTGACACAGAAAAGGATGGGTGTAGTGAGAATAGATCTAAGACTGGACCGTTACAATGGGTAAAAAAAATGAAGAAACAAAAACAAAGGAAAAACAAAGGAGATGAGGACAATGCATTTTTACTTTGATACTATTTGTATGGTTTAATTTGTGGTGGAAACTATAGAACTGAAAGATCAAACTAAATAATGTTATTAGAAGGATCATTCTTCTAATTTCCATTTACATAAAGGATTTCACTTGAGAATTTTCTTCTTCTGGGTACATGTTAACTTCTTTCATGTTCAACATGGATTTCCACACTAGTATTCGTGAGTAAAAACAAAAAATTTATCAATGCTTTCTTTATTTATCAGATCTGTAGCTGAGATGCTTTAATTAGAACTGAAAGACTAACATGAAATAATGTTATAATGAGGATCATTCTTCTCAGTTTCAGTTAAAAAATGACTTCACTTGAGAATATTCTTCATCTTGGTACATGTTAACTTCTTGCATGCTCAACATGGATTTCCTCACACGTATGTACTCTCATTAGTCAAGTAACAAAAAATTTATCTATGCTTGCTTTATTTATTAGATTAGTAGGAGAGGAGCTTAAATCAGACAATATCAAGGTTGATCCACGAGTAAATGGATTTGTAAGCTCTTCAGAAGTTAATATCAATCACTTTGAAAGTGAGCCTGATATCTTGCCAATGCATTCTGAAGTGTGTGAGAATAAAAGCTTAATGGACAATCTACATTCAGATGCCTTAAAAGATGAAAGAAATGTAACTGGTTATGATCTTGGTTTTCATGGGTATGAAGGAGAGAAAGACATGCAAAAGGCACTAGAACATCAAGCACAACTTAATGGCCATTATGAGGAAATGGAAAGGGCCCAAAGAGAATGGGAAGAGAAGTTCAGAGAAAATAACAATGGTACACCGGTATGCATCAGCAAAACCTATTTGATACAAATGGTTTAAGTTCTTTTGCTTTCTTAGCTGTGATATCATGCTAAACTGTGTCATTCATTTTTATGTTTATTTGAAACAAGAAGTAAATTCCTTGGTAGACAATTTGAGTTCAAGGTTACTGTGTTGGACATATTAAAATTTCTTGAGTAATGGAATTAAATTTTCTACTGGATTAGGAAGGCATTTAGTGTAAAAAATTGCTTTTTTTTTTTTTTTCTTTTCCTACCAGTTGAATACTATGGATTTATTTATCATCCTTGGTTTTGTAATTACTGGATGCTTGTCATCTCTCACATACTGGAATATGAAGTTGCATACGTCTCATATAATGGCATATGATTTTGGTCTTGTAAAACGCCTACCTAGATACTGGTGCTGGTTCATCAGGGCTTCTGCAGTACTTTTGATGAGCTTTGTATTATTTAATTTTTTTTGGAGGATACGAGCTTTCTAATTAGTTTTAACTCTAATTCAAATAAAATAGTAATGGCATCTTGACATCTGGACTGTACAGGGTGCTGAAAAGTAAAATGTTTGGTCACTAATGCTATAAAGAGCAGTTGAAAAGAGTTTTAATGCTTTTAAGGCATAATTAATGTGGTATTAATTATGATTTTTGAGGAAAAGTATTTTAGGAATCGATAAAGGAAAGCTTGTTTTCTGTTGATATAGGCTGGAAATCAGAAAAATTTAAAGATAGAGCAAAGGTTAAATAAAACCTAAGCAATATCATATTATGTTCAAAAGAATTTCCTTAAATGTAAAGACAAATGAAAAAAAGAAATGGGGCCTAACAAAAACTGTAGGTCACCAGTTTTGCTATTTCAAGTGGTTAGATTCGAGCTGCAGTACATTCATTCATTCATATATATAAATATATATATATATATATATATATATATATATTGTAGGTGTAAAAGCTTTAACTTCTATTGAATTGGGAAGATGTGTGAGTGGAGTTGTCCTCTTTCTTTTTTTTTTTTTGGGGAGTGGGGAGGGGGTGCTAGGGTGGGGGTTGGGTGGATTTGATTTGGTTTGGCTAACCTCCACTGCAGTTGTTTGGTAGTTAGCAAATGCTGTATCTCTTTTGGACTGAATTATCCTTTATTTCCTTTTGAGATGAGAAAACTCTCTCTCAGATGCAAATAAGGTTGCTGAACATGGTAGCTGACAATAATTCTGCATATATCACTGTCTACAATCAGCCTAAGGTTGAAGTTAGAATCAATTATTAAAAAGGGTAACATGCAAATCTTTCTCTATATTTTTTAACTGGATTTGATGAAATCCAAATTAAAAGAATTTTGACATGTGGTTCTAAAGATGGGATCCTTGTTGACTGTCCTATCATCTTGTGTCCCCTAGGAAATTCCTCTGTTATCCACATTTATTTGAGGATTAAGGCCACTTACTGCAATGAAACTACTGACATTTGCTAACGTCCCCAAAACATGTTGGTGGTTAGCAGCACAAGAAACATTTTATGCATCGGATAATGACTCCAAATCAGGAAACTAACTGAATTTGGACTGGAGATTTCATTCCAGGCAAATCTGAATTTATGAAATAATCTTAATTCTAAATACTTTGGAGGATATTGTTAAAGTTAGCAGGCAAGGTAAATGCTTAAATAAACATCATTACACAACATGATAGTAACTGGAAGCATTGCAAGTAATTAAGCTTTTAGGGTTTTCCATCCTTTTTCTCTTCCCTTATTGTCTGGATCACTCTCTATCTTTATGTATGTGTGCGTGTGTGCATGTATGGGTACCTTTCTGTGCTACTTTTATTCATGTGATCTGCCTGTCTAAAACTACCCCGCTTTACTCTCCTTTAAGAAAATATGTTGGTAAGTTACATAAAATACTTCAGTAACTTGAGAAATTAAGGAATGTTGATTGATAGACATAGCTAGGAAGTGTGAACTAAAAGTGCCACTATAGGTGCTCAGTTTTGGCTAATATGGAATTATCAATTTACCCTTGTTCCTAAGTGTGCCTGGAAAGTAAATTTTGTAGTATCTAAGTTTTATGTTATTTATACAATTAAATTGGTGGGCTTAATTCCTATACTAATAGCAATGTACATGGTTTAATTTGAGGGGGATGCTTTGTAGAGTTTGCCGAAATGAGCTTGGATATGATGCGAGTAAAGATTCTTCCCTTAATTTTTCTACAAGTGTCTCCCTTCTGTGATATTCTACACACAGCACTATGTCCACCTTTTTGTAACAATGTAAGTTCTGGTAGCCAATTACCTTGTGTGATGAAGTTAGAAGCTGACAAGGATACCAATAAGGGGTTAAAGGAAACTGACAGTAGTAATGCAGAGGAGTTGAGAATGAAGTTATCTAGTGCAAGCTGCCAAGCCAAAGATTAGTCGGTTATAGGAATAGTAGTTATGTATTGTGGGTTATAATTCACGAATTAAAAACTGTCATGTACATGCACATTTTGGGGGTTGTGAAGAAAAAACCTAATTTCCTTGCTCTTATATCTCTTTTCTGGTCTTAATCTTCTTCTTTTCTGGTCTATTTCTTTCTTCTCTTATTTAGATTAACTCTTGATTAATTCAATAGCATCATTCTATTACACCTTGGAATGCATTTTAGTCTTCAATACTACACAGTGCTAGCATGAATCTATATTGGATGCATTAACTACATCTAATGGCCTATATATAGGGGATGCTACCTCCATTTTAAAGGTTTGGGGGGTGGGTGTGCTGGGAATAGACTTTATGTGTAGAATTCTCTGTCCCACCCACCTCTTACTTTCTGCTTTCAATTCCAACTACCTGCTTCCTATTTCCCAATCTTCTTACTCCCTGCTTCCAATACTTCATGGTCTGGCGCAGCCTTCTCTCTACTCACTCTATTATGTACTTTGAGTGTTGACGATCTGTCAGTCAAATACCAAAAGCATATGAACTCGATAACTGAAACCTACTCAAAATAAAACCCACAGGGTTGCTCAGCATCCTATGTCCTGCATGACTTACTTCTGAAAATGTAAAGAACATCAGTAAGTTAAGCCAGCAGAATCATGAGATAAATAGATATCAGGAAATAAGGTTTTGATTGTTCTGGTCTTTCTTTTTTGTCTACAACTTGTTGTCTTTATCAGTCTTTTTCTCCTGTTATGTATTTGTGGATATCCTTTTTTGGTAGTTTTGTTGCTGAGTTTGAGTTGTAGTCACAAAAAAGAACAAATTGGATCTTCATGTCTTGCAGACCAAGTAATATCTTCCATATTTAAAGTTCTCTTTTGGAAAAGAAATGTCTATGATATTGGATTTGTTTATGGTGGAAAAATTCCATACATCAAAAGAATATTTTCCAAAATTCTATTTTTAGCATCTGAAGCTAGTTTATCTTGGTGCCTCATGTTGTCTTAAGTGTATGGTATAATAACAAGTTTCTCTGGTAATTTTAAATTAGATTTAGACATCTATGTCAGTTTTAAGTTGTCTTTTGCATTTTTGGCACTCTTTCCAAGTTTTATTATGACTCCAAAAAAATGGGATGTAGCAGGGAAATATTTGCAATATAAGTCAAACTGTTGAAGAGTCCCAGGAAATTTCTGTGTCCTTTTTATAAAGCATGGCAATTATACCTTCACAATTGTTTGTTTTGTTATTGTCTTTGCCTGTCTATGATAAATTCAATGGCTCTACTCTTTTGCACTTTTGACTCTAATCTCATCCATTTGGTTTCGTTTTGTCAACCAGCTGAGAATGGGAAGGGGTGGGCAAGGTTAATATGGTTCAAATGAGTAGAAAATGCCTTTGGATATACTGCTTCCTTTTATTGAGCTTCACTATCTAAGACTTGTTGCTTCTTGCAGATGGTGATGGAATTCCTTATAAAGTTCTATAAAATAAATTTTGAAGAAAACGAAGAATGTTTCCAAATTGAACAAATGATAGGATTCTAGGAAAGGAACATGTAGATGCACATACATATATCCAGTTGGAAGAGGGCACGACTCTTATTCCTTAGTTTTACCCTTCGTACTTACGCAATTTTCAAGTATGCCATGAGGCATGCTTATCTAGTCGGGGGTTCTCATGTCCTACTCTATTCCATAGGAAGGAAAGAAAGGGGAAAAGAGAAAAAGTTTTAATCTAATGGTTGAGTTACCAAATAGCACATGCTATGAATCTCAATCTTTGGATTAAAAGAATTTTCCATCCTCCCTACCAAACGTGGCAAGTCTTTGCGTCTTGAGTCTACTCTCTTTCATGGATTCTATGAGACATCAGATATTGCCCAAAACAATGAGATATTAAACTCTTTCTACAGCATTGTTATCCAGAAAAGGCCACTTAGCTTTTGCATGGCGATAAAAGGCATTGACGTCATTTTCATTGTTGGGGTTGCTATATGCACAGTTGCTTATCTTTGTCTTTTAATGTTTTACCAATTGCTATAAACAATAGGTATCCTTGAGTTTATTTTATGCTATCAAGACAGTTTATTGAATGTTGTGGCACTTGTGTAAAATCTTGCTTGTGAATGCTGACATTATGGTGTTTTGCTCATAAATTATTTAGGATTCATGTGATCCTGGGAACCTCTCAGATGTCACTGAGGAAAGAGATGAGATCAAGACACAAGCTCAATATGTATCTGGGACAGCTAGCTCACAAGTCCAAGTGGCAGAGGGAGAACACATTTGCTTCTCTGGAGAATTACCCAAAATGCACTCCAATGATCTTGTGCCACCTTCACAGGGTGATATGAATCAGTTAGAGGATCGGAGGTTTAGCAGCTCCCTTTCTCCTGAATCTCTAAATCCTAAATGTCAAAAGTTTATAATTCCCATGGCAAAGGAAAATCATTATCAGGAGAGTCTGCAGAGCAACCATTCCTCATTAGATAGCTTCCATCAATTTGCACATACTCATGGTTCACCTGGGAACCAAGCAGTGCTACTCTTTTCATCTGATATGGGCAGTAGTTCACATAGAGAGCCTCCCGGAAACAGAAATGAGCTGCATGCATTGGTGCCACATGAAATGTCTAGCAGGTTTTCTGGTGTGCTGGATGCACTTAAACAAGCTAGGCTGTCATTACAACAGAAAATGAATACATTGCCACTGATAGAAGGTGCATCTGGAGGAAAAGCTATTAACCCTCCTGTTTCTGGAAGGAAAGTTGGGCATAAGGTAGAGATTCCTGTTGGATGCCCTGGACTCTTCAGGGTACCAACTGACTTTTCAGTAGAGCCCTCTAAAGTGAACTTTCTGGGTTCAGATTTGCAGTTGAGTTTGGCAAACTATTCCCCTGATGCAGGAGTTGCACCTACTGCTAGCAACCATCTTCTAAGCACCTCTTATATGAACATCAAGTCAAGTAGTTCTAGTAATTATCAGCCACTCGCTAGTGATCGGTTTTTCAGTAGCCCATACATGGATACTAGATCCAGTTTTCCTACAGTCCCAACTGCAAATTCATCTGGTTTTATAAATGCTGATCAAATTCTCACTGGCCGATATGCAGAGACGGGGTCAAGAATATCCAGTCAGAAACCTTGTTTTGATAACTTGGAACATGGCCTACCCTCATCCAGTCTGCAGAGTTATCCCACATTCCCCTCCTATCCTGACCTAGTGCCACAGATACCCACTAAAGATGGATTTCCTGCCTTCCGTACAACCAGATCAGTTGGGGTACGTCCTGATCAGTTTTCTTTTTATGATAACCATTTTAGACCAGACACCCATACATTGTAGCACAACTACGTACTTACATTGCATCTTATTGAAGAAAAGATGCTTGTTTCACATTAAGATGTTGGCCTTGTGATATCTTTTGGAAGGCCAATTCTGTATCACTATCTCTTCATGTTCTCGATAGTAGTTAAGGGAGATAGAGTTTGCAAAGAGATGCAACTGTATTCATATACGTATTATGTCATTAATACTCTTGTTTAAATAAATACTATTGTACTAATAAACTTGTATATTGCTCTGATCAGATTCGTTTCTCCCTTTGTGGGATGCAAGTAGAAATCACTCAAACCAAATTTTTTATTTTTTTGTACGAAAAAGGTTGCAATTTAAGAATAGGATAAAAGGCTTTTATACGTCGGATTTAAATTATAAATTTATTAAATATCGTCTCTTCTAAAAGATAGGAAAAAATGTTATTAAATGTTAAAGTTTGAATTTTAGAGAAAAAACTACACGCGTTAAATTTTAAACTAGATTGGAATGACAAAATTCATAATAAAACATTGTCCCATGAGCTGAAGGAACGCTGAAATCCAAATAGTAGAGGCCAGTTCAGTGTTGTTTTCTGGCAGAACAAGGTTCATTGGTACCTCCATTAGTTCTAAATAAGCTTGGACCATGGCTTTAAAGCCGTAAGCTTCTCTGGTTCTAGAATCAAGACCTGGTTTAAAATCAGGTCATAGCCGGGCTGCCACCTCTCGGGTGTTCAAACCTGTTGACCGCGAGCAGTTTTAAACCATAAGAAAGTGCCATGTTTCACGCAACGCACGTAGTTGGTCTCCACCTCGAGCTTTTCGGGTTAACATCCGGGTATTTGAAACCCTTTATTTTTGCGGTTGGAATACTGATTCTATAAACAGGACCTGGCTCCCTGAACTTTTCTTGTACGTTTCATGGTTCTTGAACCAAGTCATTTAATTTACTTACCAAACTTAGGCGTTACTGTACATATATATAATATTTTATTGGCTGAAGTATAAAAAAATTATTTTTTTAAATTAAAATTAAATAATCATCTAAATCTCTACCATTTTATTATAATTAATTAAAATTTTAAACATCTATTTTGTTTAATTGATCTTTTGTTAAATAAAAATTGATTAATTATCATCGTCAATTTTTTTTCACTCAGAAGGTCAATTATATAAAAAAAAAAAATTTAAAAACTTAATTAGAAAAAAGTAAATGTTTTAGGGCTCAATTAATTATAATAAAATAATAAGATTTGAATGATTTTTTTAATGCTTTAGGTATAATTATTTAATTTTAATTTAAAAGTCTTTTCTATATTTTAGACTTTTTTATTTTATTTAATGAATAATATTTTGATCAAAGATATATACAAAGGGAAGTCTACAATTACAATATCCTAAACCGAATCAATGAAACTCCTTTTTATATTAGTATTTTATAGGCGGCTTAATTTGGAGTCAGCATTGAGGCAATCCAAGTTGACAGGCGATTCATCTGCAGATGGAGAAGCAAAAGTCCAATACTAAGAACCCTTGAATTATTTCTAGAGACCAAGACATGGGGGTATGCAATAGATATGGTAATTTATGAATTTATATTTATTTATTTTTTATTTAATGCATGTAAAATATAAAAATTATTATATTATAATTTATATTGACACATTACATATAAAATATATTTTTATTTTTATCAAATTCAAATATATATATGATATTTATTAAAATTTTAAATTATATTATTTTTATTTTTTTATTCATATTAATTTTTTTATTATATCGATATATTATGTTTAAAATTATGAAATCTACAAACTTCTCACTTGCCCGCAAGTTGGATTCACCCTTAAAAATCCTTTGCTTGAAAGGAAAGCGAAAGTTCTACAAGAATTTTCTTATAGTTTAGGTCAAAAGAGTTTCCCATTGGCCCTTGTTGTTGCTATATATCATTAAAACCAAATTGTTTTGATTTAATCCAAACAAATATATGTGTGCAATGACTTGGCTGTTAATCCATAGGCAGAAGCAGTAGAATTAAACATTTTCTTGACATATATATATATATATATGGAAGAGTCAATACTAAAAAACGTGTTGCTCAATTAAAATGACCAAGTTATTAGCTTAAAACTTCATAGTTCCATCCTTGATTGCTCAGCAAGCATTCTTGTTTTCTTCTCTATATATCTATATAAACGCCTGCACCCAACCAGGCAGAAGTTGAAAACAACACCATCATGCATTTTGTATATTCAAAACTTCAAAACTCGAAAGGCATATATATTATATACACTTAAACTCCATTTTTTTTATTATTAGAAGTTGTTAGAATTTGAATCTTAATCATCAGAATTAAGATTCCAATATTAATATAATAAATCACACGACTATCGGCAAACTCCATATATTTTTTTCCTAGGAAAAAATCATGGCAACCATGGATCGTCATCAGGAGATGCGGCGGCCTGAAGGTTATCCATCAGATGAGCAAGACCTACCTGATATGAGCTCAATTGTATCAGACATGGGTAGATCTCCATTTTTTTGGAGAGATGATGATGATTTGTCACTCCTGGAAAGTGGTCTTTACAGAAGAAGTTACAGTGACATGGGTGACAATCATCATAGAATCGAGGAATGGGCGAAAAGATTGGGGACGTCATTTGACCCAAGATTGTTGGTTCTGCTAGAATTTTTCAGGGAATTCTATGTCAGAAGACAGGAGTTGCTAAAGAAAATATTTCCACGGCTTCAAAATGAGTTTATTGAGTTGTTCAAGAAATTTGGCAGGGTGTTGGCTCAAGTCAAATCGAATCAAGTGAAGGTTAAAACCATGCAGAGGAGTCTGAGCTTGGGCTCACCGACCACGCCATCTAAGAAGGGGGATGAATCACCTCTGCGGCTCGATAGATTTAGGATACGGACCGTTAATATTGGAGATGTTCAAGGTGGCCAGGGTGGTCAAGGTGGCCAAGGTAGTCAGAGTGTTGACAAGCCTGCTGGCTCCAAATAATATTTGATTAAACCGGAACAAAAAATAAGAACTTGTTCACATTGTATTATTTTATTTTTTTTTAAACATTATCCTAAAATTAATGACGATATATACAGTTTTTATTGAATTAATTTGTAATTGCGAAGTTAACTGATGTTTGGATTAATTCGTTTAAGATTCTTGCTGACACTTAAAAGTTACATACTTGAACAAGTTCATGCACACACTACGAGACTAATACCAATGTTGGTCTGTCACAATTTTTATCATTTACCGTCACAAATTTTGTGACGGATAATACCCATTACAAATGTTATAAAATTCTGTCACAATTTTCGTTGGATTTTGTTGTCAAATTCCATCACAAAATTTGAAAATATGTTTCAATTTTTTGTCATAATATTTTGTTCCCTGTTCAGTCATTTACATTCCGTCACAAAATATAAATTCTATTACTAACTTTTTTCATACTTTTTCTGTCATAATTATAGTATATTATGATCATATGATAAAAATCCATTACAATTATATTAAAAATCTATCACAAATTCCATCACAATACTCATCATAATTTTCATCACAGTAAAAAAATTAAAACAAAATACATCAAATAAAATAAATATGATTCTTTATTTTATTGATAAATAATTAATAAATTGTATCATAACATTTTACAAAATTTTACTTCATATGATGCATAATTTAGAAAGTTTTACATGAACTAGTACAATCATTAAGAAAAAAATTAAAATATTCTAAAATTTAATATTTTGCTAAATTAATAGCAAATACACACATCATATCTATTACTAATAATATTAGCTATCTCCAATACTATATTACATTGACATATCACCAATATCCAAAAAAAAAAAGAGGATAATTTTGGAATTAAAATTATACCTATCAGTCCTAATCAGAGTTTTTAATGCCATTAAAGCCCATTTGTTAATATTTAATGCTACCTATTTATGCATGAAGACCATATGTACCACCTGTTGCTAAAGCAAGGGAGACCAATATGAAGTGATTTAAACCTTTTGATAGATTCAAAAATATCAAGCCTTGAAAGTTTGAAATTCATTAAAAAGATTAATTATGAAATTTTTTTTTTTTTATTCTAAAATTACCTTCAAGAATCTTGAGCCCATCACAGTTGACCTTAATATTTATTAAAATACTACATTTGAATACTAAAAAGAATATCAAACTAGTTTGATTTTTAGAAAAATAATGATTTTTAAAAAAATTTACATTTCATTTGTGAACCTAAATAAAAGAGTATACATATTTGTTGTTCCTTTCAAATCATGAACCCTTTTTAAATAAACCAAAGCCTTAATGTGCTAAATCATTCAATCCATTTGAAAAGAAAATTGTCGCATCTTTCATTTCTAATAGAGAACAATTTTCAAGGGACTCCAAAGTCACTTTTGCTTGGATATTTCATTATTTTTTATCATAGAATTTAATTATGTAGGGTAATTTTTTTGACATTGAAAAATTTTGAGTGACTAGTTACGCACATTTGTAATTAGGATTTGTCTTTTGGAAATTTTTATGATGCAAACATCAAGCTTGAACTAGTCACATAAATGTGGCATGTTGGATTTGAAGATGGAAATAAAAGGAAAGATAAATTAATAGTGAAAATGAAAGAAAAGTTAAGGAATCTTATCTAAAAAGCAATGAAGCTGAAATTGGTAAAAAAAAAAAGATAAATGTAGGTGAAAGAATAAGAAAAGGGTAACTTAAGATCTTTTTAGGAAGAAGTTGAACACTTAATTTGATGGGTACTAAGGAAAAAGTAGACTGAAAAGAAAAAATTTTGAAAAAGGGGATTTATAGCATTTGCATCTTTCAACGCACATTTGCATCATTGTATTTGTGGGAAAACACTTATTTACAGCTGGTTGTAATCTTGTAATCTGTATATTTATATTTGTATCTCTAGAATTAAGTCTTTGTATCCCTAGAATTAAGGAAGATTTAGTTTCCTAGTTTAACCCCTAGTTAGTTGTATATAAACCTAAGATTTTTGTATAATTCAGTATAAGTAGATTTTCAATATACATTCAGTTTCCACATGGTATCAGAGCTTTAGGCTTTTTTTGGAAAAAAAAATTTTTAACCTTCATTGTTGACTTTTTTAGGCCTTCATTGCTGAACCCTTTTAAAGAAAGATATCACTATCACCCAATTTGAGGAAATGTTAACTGAAAAAATCACTGGAGTACTACAGATGTCTCAGAAACAAGGAGAGTTCAACAAGGAAGAGATTGAAAAGCTGAGAAACTTATTGAAAATCTTTGAAAAACCTCCTATGGTATGTTCTTTGGGTAAAGTTTTTAGTTCAGGTAAAGCTTTCGGTTCTCATGGATTAAATGTCTCGGCTAAGCCTATTACGAGTTCTTGGGTCATTGACACAGGAGCCATAGACCACATGACACATTCCCCACAAAAGTTTAGTACATATAACCTGTGTCCTAGTAATAAGAAAATTGTTGTTGCTGATGGTTCACTTACCACAGTGGCAGGATTAAGAGATGTTCAAGTTAATCCCTCGTTTGTTTTTAAAAATGTTCTTCATGTTCTTGGATTGTCTGCTAATCTGATATCTATACAAAAACTTACCAGAGATATGAATTGCAAAGAAACTTTTTATCCCTCTTATTATGAATTTCAGGACCAGAGTTCAGAGAAGATGATTGGACTTGCTAAGGAGAAGGATGGACTATACTATCTTGAGACATCAAATAACACAAGTAGTATAAAAAATAGTTTATCTTTGTCATTTTTTTCTGAAAAATCTTTCAATAAAGATAAAATCTGACTTTATCATTTTCGTCTTGGACATCTTTCTTTTGGAACCTTGAGAAACATGTTTCCTTCTTTGTTCAAAGAATTAAATGTTAAAGATTTTCATTGTGATATTTACGAATTTGTAAAACATAGACGTGTGTCTTTTCCAATCAGTAATAAAAGAAGTTCTACTCTCTTTTACTTGATTCATAGTGACATTTGAGGTCTCTCTACAATTCTTAATATTTTTAGTGCGAGATGGTTTGTTTCATTCATAGATGATTGTACTAGGGTCTCTTGGGTTTTTTTACTTAAATCTAAATCAGATGTGAATAGTATGTTTTTAAGCTTTCAAAACATGATCCAAAATCAATTTGGAGTGAGAATCAAGAGATTTAGGTCTGATAATGCAAAAGACTACTTCAACCAGAGTCTATCTACCTATTTCCAAAAAGAGAAGATTATCCATGAGTCATCTTGTGTTAATACTCCACAGCAGAATGGAGTGACAGAGAGAAAAAACAGTCATTTATTAGCCACAATCCGAGCCTTTCTTTTTCAAGAAAATGTACCTAAATCTTATTGGGGGAAAGCTGTTCTCACTGCCACACACATTATAAATAGGTTACCTTCAAGAGTTTTGGGATTTAAAACTCCTATGAAACTACTCTCACAATTTTATCCCAATCTCAATGCCACAAACAATCTCACACCTAAGATATTTGGTTGTACATCATTTGTTCATGTTCACAGTCATAACAGGGGAAAGTTGGATCAAAGAGCAATTAAGTGTATTTTTGTGAGGTATTTTTCAACTCAAAAAGGATATAAGTGCTATCATCCTCCTACCAAAAAATTTTATGTGTCTGCAGATGTCACTTTTGAAAAAAATAAATCATTTTTTACTCAACCTTATCTTCAGGGGAAGACTTCATTCATGGAAGATAAGGATAAAGACTTCTTTTTGCTTGATTTGTCCCCTTCTTCAACATTTACACCCATTAATTCTTCTGAGTCGAAACTTGTTTCTGTTGAGCCTAAGTCAAACACTGAATTTAAGTTTGAATCCATTCTAAATACGGAAGATGTGACAAAGGATAATATTGTTCTTGATTCTATGAAGGAATTACAGGTGTACTCAAGAAGAAAAGTTCCAGATCCTGAACCAGTACCAGTCCAAGAACCTGATCCTAACTCTGGAAATGAGGTAACTATAATTTTTGACTCTGTTTCTCAAAATGAGCATGAATCTCCTAAAACTATAACTAGTGATTATGATTTACCTATTGCCATTAGGAAAGGAACCAGAGAATGTACCAAGCATCCACTATACCTAATATCTAATTTTGTGTCATTTGAAAAATTCTCACCATCCCATAAAAATTTTCTTGTGAGCCTAAACATTATTTCTGTTCCAACTACATTATCTAAGGCATTATCTAATAAGAAATGGAGGTAAGCCATGAAAATAGAAATGGAGGCCTTAAAGAAAAATCAGACATGGGAACTGGTAGAGTTGTCTAAAGAAAAAAATTCAGTAAGGTGTAAATGGGTTTTCACTGTAAAATACAAGACAGATGGTACTGTTGAAAGGTATAAAATTAGGTTAGTGGTTAAGGGCTACACTCAAACCTATGGAGTGGATTACAAGGAAACCTTTGCTCTAGTTGCCAAGATGAATACAATTAGGATTTTGTTATCATTGGCTGTAAATTACAATTGGTAGCTTCAACAATTTGATGTAAAGAATGCTTTTTTACATGGTGATTTGGAAAAAGAAATATATATGAAGATTCTACCAAGATTTGGAGGTCATCTAGAAGCAAACAAAGTATGCAGGCTAAAAAAGGCTTTATATGGCCTTAAACAGTCTCCTAGAGCTTGGTTCGAGAGATTTGCCAAAGTGATGATAACAATGAGATATAAATAAAGTCAAAGAGATCACACATTGTTTATCAAGCACTCTAATTTAGGAAGAGTCACAGTTTTATTAGTGTATGTTGATGATATAATTGTAACTGAAGATGATGAAAAAGAGAGAGAATCTCTAAAACAGTGTTTGGCTAGAGAATTTGAAATAAAAGAGCTAGAGAGATTGAAGTACTTCCTAAAAATTGAAGTAGCTCACTCACGGCATGGTATTTTTATCTCACAACAGAAATATGTGATGGATCTTCTGAAGAAAACTGGAAAGCTTGCATGTAAACCTATAAATA